GACCTACACCGCGAGGCTTGGCGAGCGGATTCTTTGGAACCTTCACGAGGATAGGGATGTCTACAACGAGATGTGGCAGATCCCTGTGGTCCCCATGCCTAAGGAGAGGCAAGTGGCAGCAAGCATCACCACCAAGGGTGAAGCGGTTGGTAGCGGCGATGGCGCGAACGGTCGCGCTAAGAAGATTAAGTCCAAGAAGTGCAATCTTGGAGTGACCAGCAAGCTCGGTGAACACGAGGAGAGTGGTGCAGCAGCCAAGAAGCAGCACAAGGATGAAGAGAACCCCAAGGCAGCAGCGAAGGAGGAGTACGGAGAGAACATGTGGGGCACTATTGCGAGTGCGGCATTCTCCAATCCGACTTCGGCTACGGGGGAGTGTGATTGGCTCACCTTGCATCGGCGAATGGGGCATGTGGCCCTCCCCATCTTGCAGCAGCTAGTGAAGAATGAGATGGTTGCTGGCATACGTGTGAAGGGGGGGCCCGATGAGGTACTTGGCTGCCCGACGTGCATGCAAGCCAAGTTCACCCGTTACCCGTTCTCTAGTTCGGAGGCAACGGCTAAGGCACCACTTGATGAGGTGGTGATGGACGTGGTGGGCCCCCTGAAGCTTGGAGCTGCTGGAGCTGAGTACTTTCTCACCATTGTGGACGTCTACACTCGCATGACTTGGGTGTACGTGCTGTCCAAGAAGAGTGTCGTGGCTGAAACGGTGAAGACCGATTGGTTGCCGATGGTGGAGCGGCAACAAAACCGGTTAGTGAAGGCAATTCGCACCGATCGAGGGGGAGAGTTCCTGAGCAAGGAGTTCTCATTGTGGTTGAAGAAGAATGGCATAAGGCACTCCCTTACCATGCCATACTCTCCTGCAATGAACGGCATCGCTGAGCGAGCGAACCGGGCAATCACGGAGACGGCGCGTGGGTTGCTCATTGAAGCCGGGCTACCCGAATATTTCTGGCCTGATGCGGTGCGGAGTGCGTGTGTGGCCAAGAACAGAGCCTTGACTCATGTGGGAGCAGACAAATGGGTGCCCTATGTGGAGTGGATTGGAAGGAAGCCAAAGGTGGATATGCTTCGGGTGTTCGGGTGCATGTGCATGGCGCTCGTGCCTAAGCATCTTCAGCACAACAAGCTCGGTGCCAAGGCGATATGGGCTGTGCACTTGGGCATGGCTCAAAACAGCAAGGGGTGGCTTCTTTGGGACCCATTCACTAAGAAATTCTTGGTGAGCAGGGACTGCAAATTCATGGAGAATCTGATGTACAAGGATTGGAAGGCGGAGAATGAGGCGAAGATAGGCATGCGGTTTGGGGAGGTGAAGAGTTCCGGTTTGGAGCATGTGGAGCTGCCCTTGGAGCTGAGCAGCGGCAGCACCACCACAAGGCAATCTTCCCTTGTGAATGGGGGAGAGGAGGCCAAGGATGCAGAGGAAGAAGAGGAGGAGGTGCAGGAAGTGAGCGAGCATGCACCGACACTTCCTTCTCGCACTACGAGTGCTCCACGGATCCGAGTCACCCCGCAGCAACGCCAAGGCCTTCATGTCCCTGCAGCTGAGGAGGAAGGAAGGGGCAAGAGGAGAATCCAAGCCCCAAATAGGCTGACCTATGAGACACTGGGAAAGCCAGCCAAGTCAGCTCTGGCCGGAGCGGCACTTATAGTTGGAGATGACGAGGAGAGTGACTACGAGGAGTGTGCCTTCGCGTTCTTCTCTCCGGTGGAGATGCCGGGGGAACCAGCAACTCTCAAGGAGGCCTTGGAGAGTAGTGATGCTGAGGAGTGGAAGAAGGCAATGGAGAGTGAGCTGAAAAGCATTGAGGAGAATGGCACGTGGGAATTGGTGGAGCTACCGGAGGGGCGTAAGGCGATTACGTCCAAGTGGCTCTTCAAGATCAAGTCCGATGCCAACGGCAAAATCGAGCGCTACAAGTCTAGGCTTGTGGCCAAGGGGTACCAGCAGAAGGAGAAGGTGGACTATAAGGAGTTTTTTGCTCCAGTGGTGAAGCCGACGATGCTGAGAACCCTACTCGCGGGTGCTGCCATCAAAGGATGGGTGGTGAAACAAATGGACGTGACAACCGCATTCCTCAACGGCGTTCTAGAGGAAGAGATTTTCATGGTGCAGCCAGAGGGGTTCGATGATGGTAGTGGCAGAGTTTTGAAGCTGAAAAAGGCCATTTATGGACTGAAGCAGGCCCCTAGGCAGTGGTACTTGAAGCTGCGAGGAGTTTTGGAGGAGATCGGCTTCACTCCCTCAACGGCCGATCACTCATTGTTCATGCTTGGAGAGGGGGAGCAGAGGAGTTTCATGGTGGTTTATGTGGATGACATCCTCATTTTCTCACCCTCCTCTGACCTTGTGAAGGAGGTGATGCTGAAGCTTCAAGACAAGTTCAAGTGCAAGGCCCTTGGTGACGTGAGCTTCTACCTTGGGCTCCACATCGAACGAGATGTGGAGAAGCGGTGCATGCGGGTGCATCAACGAAAGTACCTGGAGGCATTGGCTGCCAACTTTGGGCAGAGTGAAGGCCATGTGGCTACACCCTTTCCCTCTGGGTTCAAGTGTGTGAAGGGACCAGAGGAGGAGAGCGTTGGTGAAGAGGAGAGGCGCCGTTTTCACTCGTTGGTGGGCAGCCTCATGTACGCGGCGGTAAACACCCGACCGGACGTCGCGTTTGCTACCGGACAGTTGGCTAGGGTTGTTCAATGCCCTAACGAGGAGCAGGTAGCAGCTGGAATGAGGGTGGCCAAGTATCTTGGCCAAACACCGACCGTTGGGCTACAATACTCGGCGGCGGCACAAAGGCGCCAAAAGGGCGCGGATGGTGTTGAACCCGGGCGTTTGTTCCTCACCGCATTCTCGGATGCTTCTTTTGCATCAGAACCAGAGGACATGACAAGTGTTGGAGGGTTCATTTGCTGTGTTGGTGGAGGCCCAACTGCTTGGGAGAGCAAGAAGCAGGTGGATCAAGCATTGAGCTCGGTGGAGTCCGAGTACATGGCACTCTTCCGTGCCGTACGGGAGATTGTGTGGCAGCGGCGTTTGTTGGCTGAATTGGGGGAGGAGCAGCAAGGACCTACCCCACTCTACTGTGACAGCCAAGGTGCCATTGCTCTTGCTAAGAACCCTGTGTTGCATGGCCTCACCAAGCACATGAGGGTGAAGTGGCATTGGACGAGGAGCATCGTGGCCGCGGGTGAAGTTGAGTTGCACTATGTGAAGACGACAAGGCAGCCAGCTGACATGATGACCAAGAGGCTGGTCGAGCAGCAGCATTGGAAGTGTTGCAAGCTGGCTGGGATGGCTCTAAACTGATAGAGCAAGATCCTAAGGCCAACAATCCGAGGGGGAGTTTGTTGGTGCAACCCTACGGTTTGCATTCGGCTTGTTGTCCGTGTGCGTGCATGCGTGTGTGCATGGAATGGTATGAGGGCATGAAATAATATATATTTCATGCTTACAATAGTGTGTGAATGATGAGGCATGATTTTGAATGTGTGTGTCGAGTCAATAGCGAGTTATCGCTAGTTGCGTGCGACGTCGTTGTTTGCGTGTCGTGTGCGGTTTTCTATTTTGTCGTGTATGGAACGTTCGGCGTGTCGCAGGTGTGCGCAGCAGACTTCCAAGAACTCAAGGAAGAATTTACCTTGAAGAACCAGAGCCTTGGTTTCAAGAATCAAGTGATTTCGAAGCTCTCCAAAAGGGTAAACTTTAAGATAGTGAGAATAGTTGCATTACTTTGTGTAGTGTAACATTTCTCTTGGTGTAGGCCCTTGTGGAGGGTAGTTTCGAGACCCTTCGTGGTTGGGGACAGTGTGGCACTGTTCCACATCACTGTACCTTGGCTCTTGGGGTTTGTAGGAGCTGGGAGTCATTCCCAACTCGTAACTCTTCCTATCTTGTGTTCTAAGACTATAGTGGCTGCCATAGTACCGTTCGTTCAAACCGACGCTGTGTCGTCAATTCTTTATCAAATCGTGCAATCTAAATTGCTTATTGTAGACGACGTGAAGACGCTACAAATCCAATTTGAATCAAGTCATTTGAAGCTGTGAGAAGAACGCTATCAACGTTTGAAGCCGCTATGCAGAAATCCGTCTGTGCTCTCTATCTTTCGTTTTAGGCACATTCAAGCCTATTGTGACTATAACAGAATACACCGTTCAAGTGGGAGGATGTGCACCAGCAAGCCATGGAGCAGTTGAAGACCGCACTCACGTCCGCACCCGTCCTGATCTTGCCAGATCCAGAAAAAGACTACGTCATCGAAGCTGGCGCTAGCGACCAAGCAGTTGGAGCAGTCTTGATGCAAGACCAAGGGAAAGGACTATAACCAATCGCTTACCTCAGCAAGAAATTGCACGGGGCAGAACTCAACTACCCGATTCACGACAAAGAGGCCTTAGCGATCATCATGGCATTCAAGATATGGCGATGCTACCTCGAAGGGAGAAAGACCACGGTCTACACTGACCATTGCATCCTGAAGTACTTAAAACCCGGGTCTCATATTTCCTAGTGTATTACACTTGGTTGGGCTAAAGCGCCTGTGATTGGGTAACGATAGGCGAGATTTGTGACGAGCAGTTTGGAAAACAAAGACGACACCTCAGTTCGTCTACGCAAAAACCAAACGAGCCCCTCAGGCATGGAAAGCTCCCACACCTAAAAAACAGATCCGGCAGTTCACTGCGACCAACTGAAACGACAAGACGCAATTCGCTCACGTTCACCAGGAAAAGCAGAGCAAAACTCTCACTTGTCAGTCTTACAACCTCCGCTTAGGATGGTTCCTACGTATGTACCTCCACATCAAGATGCTGGCCTTAGTCGCTAAAACAGTGATATTAGAGACCATTTCGGACCAGATAACAGGGGACTTGCGAACAAATTCTGGTTGCGGATAACGCACTAATTGGCGACTAAGGAATCGTCCAATGTCGGGAACGGTCGCAACGCCATCGCTTGTTACGAGGTAGCCAGTCCGTAACATTCCTAAATGCGTTCTTACTCTTCTATTTACAGCTGTGGAACCCGGAGAGGTGATGTCGCATTTCAGAATGCGCTCGGGTCGTCCATCTACGACAAGCGCGATTGCGTGAAAGGTCTGTGTGCGAGTGGCATGTGTGTGGGGTGTGTGTGAAAGCTTGTGTGCGTGCGAACGTGCGTGCATGCGTGCGCGAGCGTGCGCGTGCGTGCGTGCGTGCGCTTGCGCGTGCGCGTGCGGCGTGCGTGTGTGCGCGTGTGCGTGCACGTTTGCGTGCGCGTACGCGTGCGTGCGTGCATGCGTGCGTGCGCGCGCGTGCGTGCGTGCGTGCGTGCTTGCGTGCACGTGCGTGAGAGCAAGCGTGCATGCGTGCGTGCGTGCGCGTGCGTGCGTGCGTGCGGGTGTGCACCTGTTTGTATTCTTATCATTCAGTGCATGTGCATAAAAATGCACAAGTCATTTTGCCACACGTCCCTCAGCCTTCACATCCCGGTGCTCACACCTCCCTTTCCCCCAACTTCTATCTGCGCCTCGAGACACAACACACATCCTTCCCTCTCTCCCTTCCCTCTCTCCCTTTCCTCTCTCCCATTCACCCTCTCCCCTTCCCTCTCTCCCCTTCCCTCTCTCCCCTTCCTCTCTCCCCTTCACCCTCTCCCCTTCCCTCTCTCCCCTTCCCTCTCTCCCTTTCCTCTCTCCCCTTCACCCTCTCCCTTTCCCTCTCTCCCCTTCCTCTCCCTGTTAACTCACCCTCACCCCCTCCCCTACCAACTTTCCTAATGTCTGCAGCAAGGCTTGCTTGCCAGCCAGCCCTCGCCACGCGCTCACCCTGCTAGCTTTTCTGCCCGAACTGAGGTGTATGTAAGCAGGGGAAGGTGAGGAGGGTGTGGGTGTGGGCGATGGTGAGAGAGGGGAGGGGGAGTGGGAGTAGGAGGTGGGGAGGTTGAGTGCTGTGTTTAGGGCCATGAGTGTGTAGAGCCCTTTCCTTCTCCATCTGCCCTCCTTTTTTTTCATTTCCCCTACTATGCCTTCCCATCTCCTGTCCCTTCCCTTCTCATCCCCTCCCATTCTTCTCATTTGCCCTCCCTTCCTTCCCATCTTGCGTGCCAGCCTCCCTTCCTTGCATCACCCCTACCCTCTTTTGCTCTCCCCGTTCCCCCTTTTTACCACCTTTCTCTTCCTTCACATCTCAACTGCCCTTTTTCTCATCCCTGGAGCCTTCCTTCCTCCCGTCACCTCTCCCTTTGTTCCAGTTACAAGCAGGACTAAGCTAGTCCCAGGCGAGCCTGGCGGAACGGAAGGGACAGGCAAGCAGCAGATGCACGGCCAGATGCACGAAGGCGAGATTGGCGCTAGAGGAGAGATGTACCCCGTATCTTCAAGATATTGCACAAGTGTATACATTCAATAAGTTCTTTAGGTCAGTGCTGTGCTCAATTGCTACAAACTAAATGGATGCATTGAAACCATCTGAGCATCAAGTGTAATATGCTATGAAAGACAAGAGACTAGGCGGGTTTGGCAAGCCTACTTTGCCAACAACTGAGTTTTGAATCTACGCATTAGTCACAAAACTAAGGATGAACTGGTTCTTTGTGGCGCCATGCTGGAACAAGCACATCAACAGGGGGGAGAAAGGGGGGAAGCAGAGGGGAGACAAGTGGGAAAACAGAGCTGAGGCATGGGAGGAAAGCGAGGGGAGGCATGGCATGGGGAAAGAAAGGAGGCAGGGAGGAATTGGGGAAGTGATTGCTTGGCGGAATAGTGTGTGAAAGCAGGGGAAAAAGGTGAAAGGGTTGGCGAAGTGTTGGCTTCATGGGAGGAGCTGGTAGCACGGGATGAGAGGTGACAGCAGAGGGGGAAGGGAGGTGGTAGCACGGGATGAGAGGTGACAGCAGAGGGGGAAGGGAGGTGGTAGCACGGGATGAGAGGTGACAGCAGAGGGGGAAGGGAGGTGGTAGCACGGGATGAGAGGTGACAGCAGAGGGGGGAGGGAGGTGGTATCACGGGATGAGAGGTGACAGCAGAGGGGGAAGGGAGGTGGTAGCACGGGATGAGAGGTGACAGCAGAGGGGGAAGGGAGGTGGTATCACGGGATGAGAGGTGACAGCAGAGGGGGAAGGGAGGTGGTAGCACGGGATGAGAGGTGACAGCAGAGGGGGAAGGGAGGTGGTAGCACGGGATGAGAGGTGACAGCAGAGGGGGAAGGGAGGTGGTAGCACGGGATGAGAGGTGACAGCAGAGGGGGAAGGGAGGTGGTATCACGGGATGAGAGGTGACAGCAGAGGGGGAAGGGAGGTGGTAGCAGAAAGAGAAAAGAAGGTGATAGCAGAGGGGGAGGGAAAGGGGGATGAGGGAAGGGAAGGGGGATGGGGGAAGGGAAGGGGGATGGGGGAAGGGAAAGGAGGATGCAGGGAAGGGATGGGGGATGGGTAAAGGGAATGGGGGATGGGGGAAGGGAAAGGAGGGTGTGGGGAAGGTAAAGGGGATGTGGTAAGAGAAGGGGGATGGGGGAAGGGAAGGGGGATGGGGGAAGGGAAGGGGGATAGGGAAAGAGAAGGGGATGGGGAAAGGGTAGGCGGATGGGGAAAGGGAAAGGGGATGCGGGAAGGGAAGGGGGATGGGGAAAGAGAAGGGGGATGGGGAAAGAGAAGGGGGATGGGGAAAGAGAAGGGGGATGGGGAAAGAGAAGGGGGATGGGGAAAGAGAAGGGGGATGGGGAAAGAGAAGGGGGATGGGGGAGGGGAAGGCGGATGGGGTTAGGGAAAGGGGATGTGGGAAGGGAAAGGGGTATGGGGATCGGCGTGTCTCCTACGTTTCCTCCCGCCAGTCCCGTCCCGCTCCGTCGCGTTCCCTCCCGCTCCGTCCCGTCATACATCCCGTCCCATCCCGTCCCATCCCGTCCCGTCATGTCCCGTCCCATCCCGTTCCGTCATGTCCCGTCCCGTCCCGTCCCGTCCCCTCTCGTCTCGTTTCCTTCCCGTCCCGTCCCGTCCCGTCCCGTCCCGTCCCGTCCCGTCCCGTCCTTTCCCGTCGCGTCCCCTCACGTCCCATCAGGTCCCCCCCGTTCCCGTCCCGTCCCGTCGTGTCCAGTAGCGTCCCCTCCTGTCCTCTCCTCTCCTCTCCACTTCTCTCCTCTCCACTCCTCGTTGCATCCCACAGTATCCCTTCCTACCCTTTCCGGCTCCCCTTCACGCACCGTCCCACCCCTCCCCTTCTCGTCGCATCCCGGAGGTCCTTCTCACCCCTTACCTCCCTTCCAGTCCCTTCCCTCCCAACCGTCCCGCCACACCCCTTCGCGACTCTCCCCTTACCCTCGCATCACGCCCATCCCTTTCTCCTCGCTTCCAGCCATGTCGCGTCGCTTCCTGTAATGTCGCGTCGCTGCTTATCGAGTCCTAACCCTCGCCTTTCAGCCGCGTCGCTGCTTATCCAGTCCTAACCCTCGCCTTTCCGTCGCGTCGCTTCCTATCTCGTCCTAACCCTCGCCTTTCCGTCGCGTCGCTTCCTAACTCGTCCTAACTGCTGCCTTTCCGTCGCGTCGCTTCCAATCTCGTCCTAACTGCTGCCTTTCCGTCGCGTCGCTTCCTATCTCGTCCTAACTGCTGCCTTTCCGTCGTGTCCCTTCCGTCCAAATTCGACAGGGGGGAGCGTTACTGCAATACACCTTGGTCCAAATAGAGTGGTGCATCTTATTGCAATAATGAGGACCAGCTCTGGCGATGGACGGACTATACGTGCGTAAAAGCAAATGCAGGCGCGGAGTGACCAAAGATAAAAATAAACAACGACAACGAGAGGTACAAGGTATTGTCACGTTTGACGCTGGAATAAACCTAGGGAAAATAAGATGCTGAAATGAGACTTAGTCGCTAGAGAAATCGGTGCGAGTATGTTTCTCCACCTACAACCTGTCTGGGTTTGCAGTCTCATATTTTTCCAGCTCTGTAATACGCTCGGTTGTGGGCTGTGCGTCCCATTCTCAGTCCGTCGCACATGCAGTTGCCTGTTTCTCGCAAACCCGGCTTGGTAGTCAGGCACCTGCCTCTACCAAACTGTTTGGTTTGCAGCCAATCACACCTGCGCCAAACCAAACGCGAGTGTTTTGCGAGTGATTGTTTGGTTACCCGGTTTCAAGCGTATTACCTTTGGTTGGAAACAAGAAATATGAGACGCGGGTTTTAAAGACGCAGCCGACCCTCTCCAGAAGACAAGTCAGGTGGATTGACTTCCTCGAGACGCACTTCGACTACGACATCGTGTACAAGCAGGGACACAAGAATAAGGCAGACGCACTGAGCCGGCCTGGACACGTTGCCGCCATACAGATTGAGGGGATGAATCCGCTACGCAAGGGACTCTTCACGCACGGGTATACCATCGACCCCGAGATTCCCTTTGCAGAGAAAAAGAAATTGTTGCAGTGGGACCACGACGTCGCACTACGCAAAGGATCAACAAAGATATGGGTACCCAACTACCCGCCTCTTCGGCAGTTGCTTCTCGAAGAATTCCATGACGTGCTCTACGCTGGACACTTCGGGGCAAGACTCTTGCCGGGATTGCAAAAGTCTACTACTGGCCTCACATGGCAAACGACGTGCAAAAGTTTGTCACTTCGTGCGACACGTGCCAGCGGATGAAAAGCAGTAAGCAGAAGAAAGCAGGACTTCTTCAGCCTTTACCCGTCCCGGAACAGCCTTGACAAGTGGTCAGCTTGGATTTCATCACCGGTTTACCACCTACCAACGCGGGGCATGACGCCATCCTGGTCGTCATCGACAAATTGTCAAAGATGGGACACTTCATTCCGACACATACAACCGCACGCACGGAGGAAACGGCACAGCTATTCCTCAAACACATCATCTCACAGCACGGGATCCCAACAACCCTCATATCGGACAGGGACCCCAAGTTTACTAGCAAGTTCTGGAAAGAGCTCATGTCGCTCATGGGGACACGCCTAGCAATGTCATCTGCATATCATCTCCAGACCGATGGGCAGACAGAGCGCTTGAACCAAATTGTGGAACAACTCTTGCGCGCAGCGTGCAAGGACGACATTAACAAGTGGGACTTGCACTTGCCGGTGTTGGAGTTCGCCTACAATAATGCGAAGCATGCCGCCACAGGAGAGACCCCATTTTTCCTCTGTTACGGACGACATCCACTAACTCCACAACAGCCGACAGTACCTGCAACTGTCCAACCCGCGCACGACTTCGTTACCACAATGCAGCAACTTTGGGATCGGACACACAAGCGTCTACAGGACATACAGTCTTCACAGAAACGCTTGGCCGATCGCCATCGACGTGATCATACCATTGCGGTTGGTGACCATGTGCTTCTCGACACATGCAACCTCAACCTCGGTCACCTTCCATCCAAGTTACGACCTCGCTTCCGCGGACCTTTCCTCGTAGAAGAGCAGGTCACTCCAGTCACATTCCGCTTGCGCCTACCAGCTTCTTGGAAGATTCATAACGCCTTCCACGTGCAGCTTCTTAAACCCTATCAAGATCCAAATAAGCTGTACACGGGACGCCAACCTCCGCCGCCGCCTCCAGTCCTCGTGAATGATGAACTTGAGTACGAGGTTGAATCTGTGCTTGCACATCGTCGTCGTTGGCATGGCGCCCTGGAGTTTCTCGTACGCTGGAAAGGCTATGTTCCTTCTGAGGACAGCTGGGTCTCTGAAGAAGACATGAGTAACGCCCAACGTTCTCTCCGCGACTATCTTGTCAAGCAGGGTGTTACATCTACCACCCAGCTTTGAGGGGGGGAAGTGTGAGAGTACGCCGACGTTCGACATATTTCTCATTTCCATATTTTCACTCCATCTTATTCTCCTTATTTTCCTCTTTCATTTGCACTTTATTTCACCTCAATCGGACTACTATTCTATTTTCTAGAGCTTTCCGATTATTTCACTTATTTGGTATTTTCGGCACCGACATTTACATTATACGGCACCGACAGCACCGACAGTGGTGTACAAGGCGTAATCTCGCCATAATCCAAAGTGCCAATGGGCTTGCGTGCTTATGCGCACTTGTGATTATCTATTCTAGAAGAGCGCGTTCCCGAAGGTTCGGATTATCTGTTGTTTCTATGTATTTCTGAGTATAAATACGCCTTGCACTCACCTTTAGTGCAACATTCTCGAGTGGAAATTCGATCCTGTGACACTTTCGGTATGGTACGTTTGTCAGAATGTTATATTTGTCTAGCCTGCAGTGGGGTACTCTATAGCGAGTACAGCCCAATTTAGGGTTTGCTAGATGTATTCAACTGCCTGCTAGTGAAACCCCTCTTTCTGTTTCATTCCTTCCATATTCTAACATGGTATCAGAGCAGGTCGACCCTCCCGGGTCGATCCTGTGCATGGGCCCACCCGATGCTTCCGCTGCTGTCCTGCCTATCGCGCACCTCGGGCGCGCACCGTTTTCCTACCTGCCGCGCGCTCATGGCGCGCGGCAATTTTTATTCCCGCCGCGCGCTCGGGGCGCGCGGCGGTTTTCTGTCCGTCGAGCCGCCCTGCAGGCCGCCCGACGCCCTGCCCTGCCCGTCGTACGCCCCGAGGCGCGCGACGGTGCCCTGCCCGTCGCGCGCCCCGAGGCGTGCGACGGTTTCGTCGTCCGTCGCGGCGCCCTGGGGGCCCGCGCGCGGCCCCCTCCTGTCGCCCGTCGTGGCGCCCTCGGGGGCCCGCGCGCGGCCCCCTCCCGTCGCCCGTCGTGGCGCCCTCGTGGGCCTGCGCGCGGCCCCCTCCCAACGCCCGTCGTGGCGCCCTCGGGGGCCCGCGCGCGGCCCCCTCCTGACGCCCGTCGTGGCGCCCTCGGGGGCCCGCGCGCCCCCCCCCCCCCCTGTCGCCCGTCAAGGCGCCCTCGGGGGGCCCGCACGATGCCCATCCTGCAGCCCCCGTGCCGCCCCTGTGTCCCGCTCCCGCCCCGTGCTGCTTGTGTTAGGGTTTGGGGGTGGCGAGTATGGGGGTGACTGGTGTGTGCGGCCTCCCCTACTCCTCCTCCTCCTCCGTCTCCCACTGCTGCAGCTGCCGCTGAGGGGGGTGGATGTGTGGGAGCTGTCGGAGTAGTACTAAGGGGGTGGCGTGTGAGCAGTGTTAGAGGTGCAGCAGGGGGTGTGTGACAGGGGGGTAAGACAGTTAGAGGGAGGTTGGGCGGAGGCAGCCGTCGTGTCGCCAGCAGCGCCAGTAGTCCGGAGGCTACAATCTCCGGTAGCCCAGCGAGCCTGCTGCGCCAGTCGCCCGTGGGTCCGTTGCTCCTGCCGCTCAGAGTTAGCCGCGGAGCCAGTTACTCCATTAGTCCGGAGGCTACAATCTCCGGTAGCCACAGTGTGCGCCGCTCCTGTTGCCCGTGTGTCTGCAGCTTCACCCGTCGTCTCCTATCTCCACTCCTCTCACAGTCCCTCCTCCTCACTTACCCTCTGTGATAGCTTCTAGCTTTGATTATATTTGTGAACTATAAACTGCTGCTTGTTGTGCTGATCATACCCCACTTTGACTATGGGGGTGTGTCAGAATGTTACATTTGTCTAGCCTGCAGTGGGGTACTCTATAGCGAGTACAACCCAATTTAGGGTTTGCTATATGTACTCAACTGCCTGCTAGTGAAACCCCTCTTTTCTGTTTCATTCCTTCCATATTCTAACAACGTTGTCAGCAGAATTAATGCTGCAAGTACAAGTGATTCATCTATTGAGTTTTCCGATGAACCGAACAAGAGAATGGCAGTCAATAAACTTGAGAGGCATTCCACAACTTCAAGATCTGGAAGATCACAGAGCGATGAAGGCAAAGATGATGAGCCACAAGGAGTAGCGAAAATCTACAGTTTCATTCTACACTCTACACCCTGTCATATGACTCATGTCATGTCATCCTAAATTGTTATCATAATCTTGCGACCGGCCTTCTCTGCTATCCACATCCATCCCCCCTTGCAACCCTCCACCGAACCCGCCTCCCCCTACCCCTCCCGTCACCGCTGCTTCTTCCAGACGCTGCCACGTGGCGGCGCGTAGCTCCTCCACATCAGCAGAGCGGCCCTCTTCTTCCAGGAAGTGGCGCTGGCAGTCGTCGTAGAGCGGCTGGTCCATCTCCAGAAACATCTTGCGCACGTTGATGGTCAGCCCGTTCACCGCCTGCCGCAGGGGAGGGAGAAGGGGGGGGGAGGGGTGGGAGGGCCGGGGTGGGGGAGGGAGAGCCGTGGGGGAAGGACAGGAGGGAGGGCAGGGGAAAGGAGGGAGATCAGAGGGGGAGAGGAGGGGGAGCAGAGAAGCAGCAGAGCATGCATTGGGCAGGGGAGCAACTGGCGCTGGCACTCGTCGTAAAGCGGCTGGTCCATCTCGTGAATGGTCAGCCCATTCACCGCCTGGGGGTGGAGGGGGAGGGCAGGATGGGAGGGAGAAGAATGGGGGAGGGCAGGATGGGAGGGAGAAGAATGGGGGAGGGCAGGATGGGAAGGAGAAGAATGGGGGAGGGCAGGAGAGCAGAGAGGGAGAGGGGCAGAGCGGGAGAGGAGTAGGGGAAGTGGTTGGGGGGGGGCAGAGGGGAGGGAAAGCAGAGGGGAGAGGAGGGAGAGAGGAGGGAGAGCATAGGAGAAGAGGAGCGTAGGCAGTGGAGGGAGAGATGGGCGGCGGAGGGGAAGAGGAGAAAAAAACTTGTGCATGCTTATTGCCAGCTTGTTCACAGCAACGGCGGAGGGGGGGAGGGACAGAGGAAATGGAGGGGAGTGGGGAAGCGGGAAGAGTGGGAGAGGGGATAGAGAGGAGTAATGGAAGGGAGGGGAGAGGTCGAGAGGAGGGAGAGCAAAGGGTGAGGGAAGGGAGAGCAGGGAGGGAGAAGCGGAAGAGGAGGGAGAGGAGAAGCGGAAAGCAGGGAAAAGCCAAGCAGAAAGGAGGGAGAAAAAAAAGGGAGGGGAGGGAGAGGAGACGGGGAGAGGAGGGAGAGGAGACGGGGAGAGGAGGGAGAGGAGACGGGGAGAGGAGGGAGAGGAGACGGGGAGAGGAGGGAAAGCAGTAGCGGAGAGGCGGGATTCTGGAAAGGAGGGAGGCAGAGCAGCATAGCATGCATTGCCGTTGCCTCTCCTTGTCGTTGAGACGTCTCTAAATGAATTTATTTCTTTCCACGCAGCATGCATTGGCGTTGCTTCGTGTTATCCCGAGTCAGCTCACCAGCCCCAAGACATGGAATCAGGTCGAATCCCCACAAGTCAAGTGGGAGAAGTCATATCAAGACTTGGCTTGAGACGTCTCAAAAATCTACTTTCTACACGTGGCCCCACAAGTCAAGTGGGAGAAGTCATATCAAGACTTGACTTGAGACGTCTCAAAAATCTACTTTCTACACGTGGCCCCACAAGTCAAGTGGGAGAAGTCATATCAAGACTTGACTTGTCGGTCCATGTATAGTGCAGCTGCCACCCAACCTGGTTCCAACAGCTTCATCCTGTGCTACAGCCATGGCCTGCCCTGTACCTGCAATTGGAGAAACCACTCTGCCTTGATTCTCTTGCATGCATGGTGCAGCATGCATGGTGCATGATGCACCATCAATCGTCTCAGGTAAGACGCAAGCCACTTCAGATGCTGTATCACCATGCCTGGTTGGTTTCAGTGGCTTCCGTTTGTGCTACAGCCATGACCTGCCCTGTACCTGACTCCACCTGGTTCCAGTGGCTTCAATTCGTTCCACAGCCACAGACAGCCCTGCCACGTTCAAGCATGTGCCACACTACCTGGTCCCAGTAGCTTGAGACCGTGCTATAGCCATAGCCAGTCCGTGCTACAACCACAGACAGTCCGTGCTACAGCCACAGCCCATAGCTAGTCTGTGCTACAGCCCTGCCACGTACCCACACGTGGCACTCTACCTGGTTCCAGCAGCTTCAGTTCGTGCCACAGCCATTACCACTCGGAACTACAGCTATTGCCACTCGGTGCCACAGACACAGCCTGCCACGTACCTGCACTCCACGTGGCACCATACCTGGTTCCAGTGGCTTCTGGCGTTGCGCTCGAGAGCAGCGAAGATGAGCGGCAGGATGGTGGTGCGGTTCTGCGCCACGAGAGTGACGATGTAGTCGTTGTTCCACAGGAACAGCGTGCGCTCCGCCACCTGAGAGGGGGGGAGGGAAAGGGGGGGTGGGTGGGTTAGGGTTGGTGGGTTGTGTAGGTACGAGGGGGGCATGATATGTGTGGCAGGGGATATGTGTGGCAGGGGATATGTGTGGCAGGGGATATGTGTGGCAGGGGATATGGGCCACAGATGTGGTCCTGAACCCCAGGCGTCACGAAGTGGTTGTAGCTCCACAGGAGGAGAACAGAACACGGACTTTGGTACCTGTATCAAGCCACGCTATATGGGGTATACAAGGAGCACAGTCCCCCAGCCAGATGTAACGGTTACCAGTCACCAGCGTGACAGCGTAATCGTTGTTTTACAGGAATAGAACGTGGCGCCAAACCTAGTCGAGAGAAGTACGTACGGCGATGGCGGTATGGCGATGGCGTACATATGAGACATACATACATGGCCAAAATGTATGTATAGAAAAATATGCGATATGTATGTACATACATGAGCACAACGTATGTACGCACTATTAATGGTGCAACTATAAATCGGCATGATGTTCGTAAGGGGGAGTCAGTAAATCGTACAACCAAACATTGGCACAATGCATGTATGGGACAATACAATACATGGCAGAATATAGGACGTGCGCTGCCAAACCTGTCGGGAGAGGTATGCATGGCGACGGCGTATGTATGGACAGTACACGATGTAAACATACATGGTTACAGGGGATGAATGGAACAATATAAGGTATGCGTACGAACACAATGCACGCATGGGGCAACAAGTGGCCACTGGCCATGATGCATGTATGGGATAATAAGTGGTAGAATCATACATCGACACAGTGTATGTATGGAACAATACATGGTAGAAGCATACAAGGTCATGCATATGGGTCAGGGCACACGGACACGGGAAGGGGGGAGAAGGAAGGGGGATATGCAGCGGGAATGTAATCACGCATCACGCTGAAACAGTGTAGAGACCGGGGAGATGTGCATACGCATAAGGGAGACCCGGGGGACGCCCCCGCAAGTGGGAAAACACGGAGTGCGTGCATGACACGTCAGTACGACCCCACAGCATCAACGAAACCCTAAATAACGCCAAACCACCTGGATAAACAAATACGCGCACCGATTAGAGAGGCCACACGGTGCTAAACCATGGTGGATTTTGAGTCAACTCATCACACCCCGTCCCACCGTACCTGGAAGTGCAAGGAGCTGATGCAGCACCTGATCTGCTGGAACAGCGGCGTCATGATCATCTGAAACTTGGGCGGCTGCGGAAGAATGCATGACACCCTCCCACACCCCCCAGCACCGTATTTCATCCCCGCGCACCGCCCATCACATCCCGACACCCCCCGTCACACCCCGACACCCCCCGACACACCCCGTCCCACCGTACCTGGAAGTGTGAGGAGCTGAGGCAGCGCGCGATCTGCTGGAACAGCGGCGTCATGACCATCTGAAACTCCGGCGCCTGTGTAAGCTCCAGAATCTCCTCCAACTCCCCCAGGAACAGCACCTCCTTCTGGCTGTTAGTTAAGGGCCAGAACTTCAGCAATCCGCGCAGCACCAAATCCGCGAGCTTCGGATCTTTTTCCACAAACTGAGTGATGCAGTACGACAGCTGCTGGTGGTACATCGACACGCACTTAGGCTTGTGCAGGGGAACCAGCGCGCGGACCAGGAACAACTTATGCTCCTCCTTAAGCGGCAGCGCGAACCCGTTAATAATGCTCCCTAGAATCTCCAGCAGCTCCGCGATGCCGTTATGCCGCTCCGACTCGTAGATAAACCGGTAGAAGATGTTGTTAATTGCCTTGCGGATGAACGGCCGGTGCACCATGAATTTTCCGTAAATCCGGTGCAGAATAGTCTTCAAATAGTCCCGCTCGCGAGGGTCCTCCGAGTCGAACAGGTTCAGCAGCTTTAAGATGAACTTCTGGTCCACGTAGCGCTTCGCGACCTTGGCGTCGGTCTCGTTAGAGACGACATACCTAAGCAGGAACTCGTAGACTATTTGCAGGTGCGGCCACGCGGCTTCCATAGTCGGCTCCTCCTCCTCCGGGTCGAACGATTCCGACCCGGACATCTCGTGCGCGGACGGCGGTAACGGCCGGAAGAGATTAATCTCCAGCATGCGCGTGATGTCTTCGAATACCGCCTCGTTGAATTTTCCGGTTCCAGAATTAACGTAGTCGACTAGTTCCAGGAGCGTTTGCCGCTTAATCTCCTTCTCCTTCACGTTTTTCATGGGGTCGTTGAAATCGAAGAGGTAAGTGCAGAGATGCAGCTTCCGGATGAATAAAGCCTGCTTTTCCTGCGGACCCACGTCTCTAAACAGCGGCAGCGGCTCCGCGAAAGGCGACGCGTTCGCCTGCGCGATCACTTCGTTAGGGTCGCGACGAACGGGAGCCGTTGGATTCGCGACGCCTGGAGGCGGATGCGGGCCTCCCGCCTTTCCGGCGTTCCCTCCCCCTGACGCAAGCTTCCCTGAGCCCGACCGAGCAATGCCACCCCCCGCTGCTGGCGCCGCTGCTGCATTGCCTGCATCGTGCGACGCTGCGTCTGACTTACCCTGCTTTTTCCGACCCCCTGCAAACGTCTTCTTAACTGACTGAAGCATGCTAAGTCGTTTTCTGCACTCGAAACCCTAGCCGCTAACTACTATCGACACGAAATTGCTAACGTTGTTCGGCTTCAGTCAAGCAGGAATAGCAATCCCTAGGCAAGGAGAACTTTCTGGTCATGGCCGAAACCAGGACGCGAAATTAGGTCTACACCGAAACTGGCCAGGCGTCGAGTCCAAAACGGCCTACTTCGCAAAACAAAAAAGCGAGAATATGGCGAATCAGATATGACATCCAGCGGCCCGGCAACGACGATTAACGAGTTGCGAATCAGGCTCGTAGGATCCTGGATTGAGCCGCCATGGATTATGACAGGTGAGCTCCCAGGGTTGAATGGATAAAGTAGATGGGGAAATACGTCGAGACGAGCAGGGGGGTTGGTTCTGGATTGATGCGGGGGTGGTTCCGCCAGTGGTTGGGTGTGCAGAGAGTGAGGGGGAGGGATGCGCGGAGACCAGTGAAGACTTTGCGCTGCTCCTGTTGAAAAGGGGGGGCTCAAGAGCGCAAAACTTGTTGCAGTTGATTGCAGCCCCACATGTGGTTGACTGGTGATTTGGGAGGTCGGTACCCTATAACGAATGCCTCACATGATTTTATTAAAGCCGGAAGCCCAAATTGCACAAGTTTTAAAAGGATGACGCGAGGGGTTTTTTCTGGGTTGGGTTTTGGCGAGTGATTTCGATTTCGGGCATTTCGTTTTTTTCGCCAAACCCAGCCAGCCCACGTATTTCGCCCTGGCGGTTGTGTCAGCACCCGAAAGTCCCAAATTGCAGGTGCGCTACTTTTCAAAGCTTGCACACTGCACTTCGTCAAGTTTTAAAAGCATGACCCACGCGCCTCGCAATTTGGGACTCGGGCTTTAAATTACATTAATTTGCAGTCACTCCAAAATAGCACCTCCCCATCCTCACTCAAAACTATTCTTCAGATGAGTAGCTTAGAAGATTTGACAAAAACGATAATACATAATGTGGTACTGCACACCAGAATGTTTGAACGTGTGGTGAATAGGGCAAATAATACGGTATGTGCTTACCCTAGCAAGAGGGAGGGAGAGAGGGACCAAGCTATAACATGCAGCAGCAAGCAAGTCAATAGAACCCAACGAATCATTAGACCAGCCAGGCTGAAGCCCTTCTCAAGACACCTCCACCCCATCACGAGGTGACAAGATGAAACTCCCTCACCACAGCCGCTTTTGCCAGAAACGACCGTGGGAATGTCGTGCTTTACCAAGGCTGCCTTTCACACGTCTCAGAGACCATGACACCCAGAAGCCTCCCTCAGTCACTTTCTTAATGCCTGCCTCCTTACGTCATCCCCCTTGCGCCAGCCTCCAAAGCCAACCCCTTTAGCCGGGGCCAGCCTTTTGAATGCCACAGAGCTTACTAGCATTCTCCGGGTACATGTTGAAATGATCGATGCGATGCGCTGCCTGTGCAGCTGGTTTTCACTCTCAACTCCGAACCAGCAGCCTCATCACAGCCCGCTTAGCCCGGGCCAACCTTTGGAATGTCGTGGTGCTCACTAAGATTCGCCAGGTACTTGTTAAAATCCTCCACGCGCTGCCTGTGCGACTTACTCGCGCCCCTAGCGGCCCGTTCCGCCTCTAGCTTCTCCAGCTGCTCGTGATACCGCCGCTCCGCGGGCGTGCGGAGATCCTCCGCCTCCTCCTGCGCCTGCTGCTCCCCCTCTTCCTCCCCCCCCGCCCCCCCTACCGCCACTGCGCCTGATTCGTGCAATCCCGCCGCGCCGCCGCGCGCCTCTTCCTCCTTAAGCGCCGCTTCGGCGTCTCGAAGCGCTTGCAGCTGCAGCGAGTCGAGATTAACGGCTTTCCCGGTCTTTTTCTTCTTCTTCTTGATGCCGCCTATGGACGGCAGTGCGCGGTCGCCGCCTTTCAGTTTCAGTTTACCGCCGATGACGTTGTTGAACGACATCGGGACGGCAGGCTGGTCGTAGCCGTCTGGTGGTGGCGGTCAACCTGGTCGTCGCCGTCTAGTGGCAGTCAGGCTGGTCGCAGTGTGTCGGCACGAGAACCAACGTCGGTGGTAACACCCGTGTTTTGAGACGAACCAGCGCCGACACCCGAGCTTTAGGATTACGACGGATCGCGATTGGTGGATAAGCTTCCAATCGACTCCGTCCCGACGGACGCAATCACGCTGCTACAATCGAGATTAACAGAACCCCTGTTGATTTCCGCTGTGCTCCTCGACGGACAAGGGAAAGAATGAGAGAGTTGAGTGGTGAGAGAGATGAGGCGGAGGATGGACGACACGCACGACAAGGAGGATGCCAGGCCAGCGCGGGAGGGTCAAGTACGTGCCGGGGCAGTGGTCGCAATAGAAATAATAGTGGTCCGATGATGAAACAGCAAACCTTAGTCTTCCCATGCTTTACACCGATTTCGCCTAATTTGGCTGTCAAAACCTGAGGCAACAGAAGGCAATCAACGAAGTGTAGAGCGACCGAAGCGATCCGCTGGTAACCGTGTGCTTCGCGATGACCTTTGAATGAGAGAGCCATCTAGTTCTCAGTAGCAGCAGACTTGTTCAACGTACAACGAAAAGATACGAGCGGTCACTAATAGCAAGTGAATTACAATGGTTCATAAGGAGCCTATCAAATACAAGTAATGGTCAACAGAACAGCCAACTCCATACAATCTGCCTGATACTTCTCCCTGCTGCAAAACCACCCTGATTTCATGGTATGCTCATCTTGAATCACGGCATTTGATCGTAAAAAACGCACATCCCCAGCGTTTATACCTGCCCTTCTTAGTTGTGAACACCGCCGCCTGAAAGCCAGACCTGCCGTTTTTCTTAGTCTGGTCGTTTAAACATAGTCTTGGTGCCATGCTGTTGATTCGCCTCTTTCATCATGCTATGAGGCTCTCCTCCTTAGCTTCAGCCATCAACGCCTCTAGTGCATCCACATCGGCTGGAACTGCTGCTGTCAGATTCTGCAAGGAATCCAGGGAATGGAATGGCGGCACCATAGGAGGAAATGGCTGATAAAAAGACACGAGTGGAAGGGAGAAATTTCATTGTGTGTAAAAATAGAATATACATGTGCGAGCATTTGCCTTTTAAACGCTGCGGTTGAGATACGTTGAACTGTCAACACTCAGAGAGCACTCCAGGTTATGTAAGGACGACTTTGAAACACAGTGCATGCAAAATTCAGTCGTGAACAACAAGTCATTTTGAGGAGTAAACAACGCACAGGGAGCAAAAACAGATAAGCGGCGCTGATGGAATGGAATTGACATGGCACATGACATGGCTTGGACGAGATTCAACGTTGTTGCAACCCCATGACTCTCATGCGCAACCCATACACATGTCATGGAGTTAGCACATAGATGCCGACCCCATACCATCATCTAGTGTGCCTGGAAACCTGGTGTAAAGTATGTGCATGTCTGTCCTAATACTGCCCAACATAGATAAAATAATAGATGAAGAGATCAATAAATTCATAGAAGATGCGTACATGAACAATCAAATAGATATGTGCGTAACATTTACCTCGTAACCATCGGCCGTGATCAAAATGTCATCCTCTATCCGCACGCCTATGCCGCGCAGACTGGGGAAGTGAAGGAGGTGGAGTGAAGGAGGGGAGAGAGAGAGAATGACGGAGAGAGAGAGAGTGAGTTGCAGATGAGCTTTGAGTCGATTCAAATACCTTGCAGGTTGAGGGAGAGAAGGGGAGGGGCAGACGGTCGAGTGAATACAATTGACCAATGGGAGAACGAGTTGCAAGTGTCACGGTTGGGTTTGGAGTCACAGTGGTGCGAAGAACAGCCAGCATGGGAGCATGAGTATGGGCGCCTCACCCCCCCCCCTCTTTTTTTTTAGTTAGATCGCTTTTTGAGTTTACTAAAATAATCGGCATAAGAGTATGCATGGGTATGGGATAGGCGTCTCACTGTTTTGGCACTTGGTCAATGTCTGGGAGATAGAGGCCTGGCTCGATTGTCAGCACCTGGGAACGGGGGGAGCATGGATGGCAAAGTAGGAGACAAATGTTAATTTTGAGACGTCTCAAAACTAGCATGGATGGCAAAGTAGGAGACAAATGTTAATTTTGAGACATCTCAAAATTAGCATGGATGGCGAAGTAGGAGACAAGTCTTAATTTTGAGACGTCTCAAAACTAGCATGGATGGCAAAGAAGGAGACAAATGTTAATTTTGAGACGTCTCAAAACTAGCATGGATGGCGAAGTAGGAGACAAATCTTAATTTTGAGACGTCTCAAAACTAGCATGGATGGCAAAGTAGGAGACAAATCTTAATTTTGAGACGTCTCAAAACTAGCATGGATGGCAAAGTAGGAGACAAATGATAATTTTGAGACGTCTCAGAACTAGCATGGATGGCGAAGTAGGAGACAAATCTTAATTTTGAGACGTCTCAAAACTAGCATGGATGGCAAAGTAGGAGACAAATGTTAACGGTGGGCAAAAGGAGGGCGCAATGGGTTCAAACGCATTCTAGATTGGGGGACCATGGATAGCTTTCCATCATTCCATGCAACTCACACAGCTAATGCGTTTTTAATTGTAATAAATGTCAGCAGTGGCTCCCCAGGCAGTCATTAAATATATAATAAGTAAATCAGCAAACAAACAAACAAATCAATACAGAGAGGGAACGGAAGTTGCCTCACTACACAAGGCCGAAGATGTTGTTTTTGCGTTGACCCTAACCCTCAAACCTTAACCTAGAACCAGGAACCTGGAACCCTGAACCCTAGCACATGAAACCTCGAGACAGAAAAGGAGGGAAGGCGGGCTCACCACACTTGGCTTGAGCGGCTGAAAGGAGGAGACGGATGCACAGTCGTGTGTGTCCAGCCCTAGCCACTCCCTGCCACACCCACCAGTCATGGCACCATCTTTCCATGCATGCAAACCTAAATCCTAAACCCTAACCCTAACCCTAAGCCTTGACACTGATATGGAGGGAAGGCGGGCTCACCACACCGGGCTTGAGCGGCTGAAAGGAGGAGACGGACGCACAGTCGTGTGTGTCCAGCCCCAGCCAGTGCCCTACAATTTCGTGGCACCATCCATGGCCATTCATGGCATCACAAAACATGCCACCATCACCATCCATCCCACCACCATGCCACCATGCATGCATACCATCGCGTCATGTCGTCTGGAATCTAAGAACAATGAAAATTCGTATGCATGTGTACACCATGCATTCATTAGTGCAACAAGCACCATGAATTCGCTTGGCAATACGTTATCGAGGACAGAAAAAATGATTAATAAAGGTTTCTTTAGATACTACTGTAGCAACTGCAATTTAATGCAGGAGAAACAGAATAACGAAATTTATTTGAAATGAGCAGGATGGGCTTGAAAAGAATGACAAGAGAGAAGGATGACACAGCAGATAGATGGTCTTGAAAATGCAGGAATGATTGTTATGAAGAAAATAAAATCACCAAGAGAGAAGCCTCACCAACAGAGGTCGGGTAGAACTGCCGGACGGCTCCTCGTGCCACCTGCTGTGCTGAGCCCTGACACACTCCCAGCTGCACCAGGGCCGATGAGAGGGATATGACCTGGTGGTTCCAGGGGCGGTTGTGAACGGGGGGTCGATTGGGTTGGGATGTGATGGTACCTGAGGTGGAAGGGATAGAGCTGGAAGGGAGGGTCGTGTTTTGAGTCGACTCAAAATGTGATGGAAGGAATAGAGTTGGAGAGGAGAGGGATGGACCCGAGCCCTGGCACCCTTCCTGCCAGGCAGTGCTGCTGCATACCCCCCACCATGCCCATGCCCCTTAGCTTATGATGTCTTGTGTCATCCCACCCACCAAGTGCCTGCCTCTGCCAACGAATCACTCACTACAAATGCTGCACCCACCCGTCGAGTGTTGGTGAACGTCCCTGAGAGTGGCGCCTCGTTTGCACATCACAATGCACTCCACCATTGCCATGTGCCTGTCTGTGCCATCCCACCCACCCACACAGTACTCACCACCCAACCAAGCACCCACCAAGTGCTGATGCTTTCCCGTCAACATGCCCTGTTCCCACTGATTGCCATGCCCCACCAAACGAGTGTTGGTGAACGTCCCTGGGAGTGGCGCCTGACTTGCACACAGCAATGCACTCCACCACCGCCAAGAGTCCACCTGTGCCATCCCGCCCACCCAGTACCTACCCACCCGTTTTGAGTCGTCTCAAAAGTAAGAGCCCATTTGTGCCGTCCCACTCCCCCAGAACCCACCAGTAACCACACTCTATCTGCTTTTGAGACGTCTCAAAAACCACACTCTACCTGCCTGAGCCTTACCCACGCAGCACAGACCAACAACCCACCGAATGCTGGTGAATGTCCCTGAGAGTAGCCCCCGGCTGGCACATGGCAACACTCCCATATCGCCAAGAATTTGTATGTGCCATCCCCACCCACATAATACCCACCGCCTCACTCAAAAACCCAAGCACCCACCGAGTGCTGGTGAATGTCCCTCAGAGTGGCACCCGGCCGGCACATGGCAATGCACTCCACCATCGCCTCCCGCACCGCCTCATACACTGCTCTCTGCCATGTCAGCACAAGGAACGGATGGATCTCTGCCACGTCAGCACAAGGAACGGATGGCTCTCTGCCACGTCAGCACAAGGAAAGGGGTTAATCTGCCGCGTCAGCACAAGGAGAGGGGGTTACTCTGCCACGTCAGCACAAAGAACAGATGGCTCTCTGCCACTTCGTGTCTGGGCGGGAGGGAACCTCCTGAAGCTGCATGGCAGCCACAACCCCAACATCTGATGAGAGACCAGCCTGACGCCCCATGCCCCATGCCCCATGCCCCGCCCCATGCTCCATGCCCCACGCCCCACGGCCCATGCTCCACACCCCATGCTCCACGCCCCATGCTCCACGCCCCATGCTCCACGCCCCATGCTCCACGCCCCATGCTCCACGCCCCATGCTCCACGCCCCATGCTCCACGCCCCATGCTCCACGCCCCATGCTCCACGCCCCATGCTCCACGCCCCATGCTCCACGCCCCATGCTCCACGCCCCATGCTCCACGGCCCATGCTCCACGCCCCATGCTCCACGCCCCATGCTCCACGCCCCATGCTCCACGCCCCATGCTCCACGCCCCATGCTCCACGCCCCATGCTCCACGCCCCATGCTCCACGCCCCATGCTCCACGCCCCATGCTCCACGCCCCATGCTCCACGCCCCATGCTCCACGGCCCATGCTCCACGCCCCATGCTCCACGCCCCATGCTCCACGCCCCATGCTCCACGCCCCATGCTCCACGCCCCATGCTCCACGCCCCATGCTCCACGGCCCATGCTCCACGGCCCATGCTCCACGCCCCATGCTCCACGCCCCATGCTCCACGCCCCATGCTCCACGCCCCATGCTCCACGCCCCATGCTCCACGCCCCATGCTCCACGCCCCATGCTCCACGCCCCATGCTCCACGCCCCATGCTCCACGCCCCATGCTCCACGGCCCATGCTCCACGGCCCATGCTCCACGCCCCATGCTCCACGCCCCATGCTCCACGCCCCATGCTCCACGCCCCATGCTCCACGGCCCATGCTCCACGCCCCATGCTCCACGCCCCATGCTCCACGCCCCATGCTCCACGCCCCATGCTCCACGGCCCATGCTCCACGCCCCATGCTCCACGCCCCATGCTCCACGCCCCATGCTCCACGGCCCATGCTCCACGCCCCATGCTCCACGCCCCATGCTCCACGCCCCATGCTCCACGCCCCATGCTCCACGCCCCATGCTCCACGCCCCATGCTCCACGCCCCATGCTCCACGCCCCATGCTCCACGCCCCATGCTCCACGGCCCATGCTCCACGCCCCATGCTCCACGGCCCATGCTCCACGCCCCATGCTCCACGCCCCATGCTCCACGCCCCATGCTCCACGCCCCATGCTCCACGGCCCCATGCTCCACGGCCCATGCTCCACGCCCCATGCTCCACGGCCCATGCTCCACGCCCCATGCTCCACGGCCCATGCTCCACGCCCCATGCTCCACGGCCCCATGCTCCACGCCCCATGCTCCACGCCCCATGCTCCACGGCCCATGCTCCACGCCCCATGCTCCACGGCCCATGCTCCACGCCCCATGCTCCACGGCCCATGCTCCACGCCCCATGCTCCACGGCCCATGCTCCACGCCCCATGCTCCACGGCCCATGCTCCACGCCCCATGCTCCACGCCCCATGCTCCACGCCCCATGCTCCACGCCCCATGCTCCACGCCCCATGCTCCACGGCCCATGCTCCACGGCCCATGCTCCACGCCCCATGCTCCACGCCCCATGCTCCACGCCCCATGCTCCACGCCCCATGCTCCACGCCCCATGCTCCACGCCCCATGCTCCACGCCCCATGCTCCACGCCCCATGCTCCACGCCCCATGCTCCACGCCCCATGCTCCACGCCCCATGCTCCACGCCCCATGCTCCACGCCCCATGCTCCACGCCCCATGCTCCACGCCCCATGCTCCACGCCCCATGCTCCACGCCCCATGCTCCACGCCCCATGCTCCACGCCCCATGCTCCACGCCCCATGCTCCACGCCCCATGCTCCACGCCCCATGCTCCACGGCCCATGCTCCACGCCCCATGCTCCACGGCCCATGCTCCACGCCCCATGCTCCACGGCCCATGCTCCACGCCCCATGCTCCACGCCCATGCTCCACGCCCCATGCTCCACGCCCCATGCTCCACGCCCCATGCTCCACGCCCCATGCTCCACGCCCCATGCTCCACGCCCCATGCTCCACGCCCCATGCTCCACGCCCCATGCTCCACGCCCCATGCTCCACGCCCCATGCTCCACGCCCCATGCTCCACGCCCCATGCTCCACGCCCCATGCTCCACGCCCCATGCTCCACGCCCCATGCTCCACGGCCCATGCTCCACGCCCCATGCTCCACGGCCCATGCTCCACGCCCCATGCTCCACGGCCCCATGCTCCACGCCCCATGCTCCACGCCCCATGCTCCACGCCCCATGCTCCACGCCCCATGCTCCACGCCCCATGCTCCACGGCCCATGCTCCACGCCCCATGCTCCACGGCCCATGCTCCACGCCCCATGCTCCACGCCCCATGCTCCACGCCCCATGCTCCACGCCCCATGCTCCACGCCCCATGCTCCACGCCCCATGCTCCACGCCCCATGCTCCACGCCCCATGCTCCACGCCCCATGCTCCACGCCCCATGCTCCACGCCCCATGCTCCACGCCCCATGCTCCACGCCCCATGCTCCACGCCCCATGCTCCACGGCCCCATGCTCCACGCCCCATGCTCCACGGCCCCATGCTCCACGCCCCATGCTCCACGGCCCATGCTCCACGCCCCATGCTCCACGGCCCCATGCTCCACGCCCCATGCTCCACGCCCCATGCTCCACGCCCCATGCTCCACGCCCCATGCTCCACGCCCCATGCTCCACGCCCCATGCTCCACGCCCCATGCTCCACGCCCCATGCTCCACGCCCCATGCTCCACGGCCCATGCTCCACGCCCCATGCTCCACGCCCCATGCTCCACGCCCCATGCTCCACGCCCCATGCTCCACGCCCCATGCTCCACGCCCCATGCTCCACGCCCCATGCTCCACGCCCCATGCTCCACGGCCCATGCTCCACGCCCCATGCTCCACGCCCCATGCTCCACGCCCCATGCTCCACGCCCCATGCTCCACGCCCCATGCTCCACGCCCCATGCTCCACGCCCCATGCTCCACGCCCCATGCTCCACGCCCCATGCTCCACGCCCCATGCTCCATGCCCCACGCCCCAATACGTGCCTGAGCAGAGGAGAACCTCCCAAAGGGCAGCCACACACGAGTGATGTCAGAGGCATAGCCGAAGTACTCACAGCCCGCATCCACCAGTAGCGCCTCCCCCGGTTGCACCTGATAGGAGGGGAGTGAAGGAGTGGAGGGGGAATCGTTCACACTGCTGGAGTGATAAATGCTACAGCCCGCATCCACCAGTAGCGCCTCCCCCGGTTGATGAAGAGGGTTATTCTACTGCTGGTCTGAAAGATGATACAGCCCGCATCCACCAGTAGTTCTTCCTTTGGTTGCACGTGTGGGGAGGTGGAAGGAGAGGGGGTGTGTGTTTAGACAGCTGGGCTGAAAGATAACACTACTCGCATCCACCAGTAGCGACACACTGCTGCTCGCTGGAATGTCTAACAATTCACAAGCATGGGTACTGACTGCAGGCTGATTGACTCACTGGCTTGTCATTGCGCAGATAGTGAACGATGCAGCCGCTGCTGCCCCCCGCCACCACTGGAGGGTAGCTGGTGGAGAGAGCAATGCATGTGGGGCGGCAATAGAGGGCGACCACACAATTGGATACAAAGGAAACTGGAAGGAGTGATAGAGGTGCGCGGGGATGAGGGAGGGAGGGAGGGAGGGAGGGAGGGAGGGAGGGAGGGAGGGAGGGAGGGAGTGGGGAAGGGAGGGAGTGGGGAAGGGAGGGAGTGGGAAAGGGAGGGAGGGAGGGAGGGAGGGAGGGAGGGAGGGAGTTGGGAAGGGAGGGAGTTGGGAAGGGAGGGAGTTGGGAAGGGATTGGAGGAGAGTGCACTTGGGGGAGGGAGGGAGGGAGGGAGGGAGGGAGGGAGGGAGGGAGGGAGGGAGGGAGGGAAGGAGGGAGGGAGGGAGGGAGGGAGGGAGGGAGGGAGGGAGGGAGGGAGGGAGGGAGTGGGGAAGGGAGGGAGTGGGGAAGGGAGGGAGTGGGGAAGGGAGGGAGTGGGGAAGGGAGGGAGGGAGGGAGGGAGGGAGGGAGGGAGGGAGGGAGGGAGGGAGGGAGGGAGGGAGGGAGGGAGTTGGGAAGGGAGTTGGGAAGGGATTGGAGGAGAGTGCACTTGGGGGAGAGTGCACTTGGGGGAGGGAGAAAGAGAAAAGCGCAGAAAAAGAGGCAGAGGCTGCAGCAGTGGCAGAGGCGGCAAGGGAGGTATAGTGAGAACAAAGCGCGCACTGCTTGAGGTTCAATAAAGAGGGCAATACATATCCACACACATATGCATATACATATTATAGTTATATAAGTACATACAATTATACATATATACTGATTTTTATTCTGCCTCCCCTCAGCTGCCCATCCCTCTTCTACAAGAGCACCCACCAGTACCCTGTGTTCAAATCACTTCTGAGAGAGAATTCTCAAAAGCGATTTCGTCAGTACCCCGACCAACCAAGTGCCGAGGCGAGACAATCTCGCATTTCATTTTTCAGTCACCACTCACGCAAATCGCTGTGCTCCCCGTCGCTTGCACTCAAACTCGATCAGCGCAGAAATGTGCCCCTCGTGGGGCAACGATCCCCCCATGTGCCCCTCTTCACAGGAGGCAGAAGAACCGGACCCTCCTGCTGCTGCTCCCCCTCTTCCTGTTGCCACAGCTGCTGACTGCCTCATAGCTGTTAGGAAGGCCTGCAGGCCTCAAACATCCACAAAAAACAAACATGAAGAATGAAAACAAACACACACACTCGCGCGCGCCGCACGCACACACACACACACACACACACGCACACACACACACACACACACACACACACACACACACACACACACACACAATCTTGAGTTCAGATACTACACGAGCAGGCAAACAGAAGAGCAAAACATACCCTTATTTTAGAATTCTAAAACATCCGAACCCCATCTTCTATCTTTGAGGCACCTCAGTACATCCGTTCTGAATAGTACAAAATTTAGTCACTAGCCAACCTGGATTGATCAATCTCACAGCATCCCAGCAGCAGCTTGCCACCAGCTATGCGATCCACGCCGTCCGTCCATTACCTCTGCTGTGATCTCAGCTGCCCGTCGCATGAGCCTCTGTTCCGCCTCAGATTTGATCCACCACTGCTCGTCCAGGGCGCTACGGGACGACAGCAGTCGCCCGGTTGCCAGCTCAGCGGCGAGAACCGGTACTGTAGCAATCAGATCGCGATTGGCCCGATGGTCACAGTAGAACCGAGGAGGAGGAGAACGGTCGGAGGAGTAAGAGGAGGGTAAGGAGGAGGAAGATGAGAGTCGGTGTGCTGAGATGCGTTGTTGGGCCAGGAGAAGGTACTGAGAGTGTATGAGATATGGGGGGGTGAGGTGGGGGAAGAGGTGGGTGAAGGGCAACGGTCAAAAGAAGAGAACAGATGAAAGAATGTAACAGACACAACAGTTTCTATCCACCATTTGACAAGGACAGAAGATTTTTACAGTGCACAAAAGAGTTCATCGCAGAATGGATAGACATGACATGAGCGCCTTGAATTGCAGCAGGATCTGAAGTACATGCGATCACACCTTGTTCCAACCCATGCACCGTACCTCGTTGAGAGTATCCGAGTACACGGCTCTGTCCGGTTTAAAGAAGGCCGTGGCAGCAGGAGGGTCCAACAAGTTCAAGGCACCTCAAAACTCAGTAATGCCTTCAACTTTGAAAGAACACGGAAAGAATGGAATGGGAGCTGGCGGGGGAGTACCTCATTGAGCGCATCCACACACATGGCTCTGTCTGGTTTGTAACAGGCATGGGCAGGCAGCAGGTGGGCCTAACGGCGGGTTTTGAGACGCCTCAGAACTCATGAGTGCCATGCAATGCAACACAAGAGTGAACGTACCTCGTTTAGAGCATCCACGAACACGGCTCTGTCTGGTTTAAAGAAGGCCGTGGCAGCTGGTGGGTCCAAAGCCCTGCCGTCCCACACTTCCATCTGTGGGCGATTGAGATTGGGTTGGTGGAACAGACAGGGTGGGATGGAGGGAACAGTGCACGGCAACTTAGCACACCTCGTTAAGAGCATCCGCAAACAAGGATTTGTCTGGTTTGAAGAGGGGCGTGGCAGTAGGTGGGTCCAACGCTCTGCCGTCCCACACCACCATCCGCGGGCAATTGGGTACAAGTGTGCAGAGTGGCCAAAATAGGCTTTAAATGGCCCGCCATACCACACCACCATGTGTGGCAGCTAGAGTGAGCAAAGGGGTAAAGTTGGGTGGACAAGCCAATGTAGGGCTACGTTTTGAGAGTACTACGTCTCCATCATTGAGTCCAATCGAACCCCAAACAGGAGTCATGGTCTTTGCGTGGCAGCAGCAGCTTTTAGCAAACTGTTGTTTAGTGTAAAGGTTTGCTTTGAAAGTACTACGTTTTGAAAGTACTACGTTTTGAGAGTACTACGTTTTGAGAGTACTACGTTTTGAGAGTACTACGTTTTGAGAGTACTACGTTTTGAGAGTACTACGTTTTGAGAGTACTACGTTTTGAGAGGACTACGTGTCCATGCATGAGTCGTACGTTGTACTTAGAATTCAATGTACGACTCAATGATGGAGACAAGACCATTCTAGCATGCTGCATGCATGCCAGTGGGCATATTGGCACGCCAACAAACAAAGCAATGTCACCATGCCATACCATGCCATGCCATGCCATGCCCAGCACATTATGTCATGCTGGACTGGAACGCCATGGCCTGTGCATTTCTAACAAGTCCTTGCATCACTATCATACATGGCAGCCAGCCAAGCCAACCAACCCACCAACGCACATCGGCTCGTTGACGTGGCAAAAACAGCGTGAAATGCACATCTCGTTCCCCTCCTTCCCCTCCTTTCCCTCCACCAGCGGCACCACTCCCACTCCCCCCATCGCTTTCAATCACAGCTACCACACCCGGGTGCCAGCAACCCGTGAGGTAAATCAAATCTGAGTCCGGGCGGTAGGGGAACGGCACGATGCCGGCCATGTATCGCACTGGAGCCGCGCCCACCACTAGCACGCTGCCACGTGGCAGGCGGGACATGACTGCCCTGCGCCGGGCGGCGAACTCTGACGCGGTGACAGCTGGCAGGATATCATTGGGGCCGAGCAGCTGTGGGAGGTAGGAGTGAGAGGGGGGATGAGAGGAGAGGGGATGAGGGGGAGAGCGAGAGGGAAAGGGAAGGAAGGTGGGAAGAGTAAGGGAATTGTGAAAATAGCGTGTTTTTTAGAATTCCCTAGAAGGCGGTTGGAGTGTGTTGCTCAGCTGCAGCCAATCGATGTTTTCATTCTCCCCCTGCTCGTCCCCCCATTCCACGCCCTAGCCACCTCAAGCTTCGAGGCGTCTCAAAACACTCCCTAGTCTCCTCACTCCTCTGTGGAGTGGCGGAGACTCGTCTCCTCCACATTGCCTCACCAACAGTGTGGCTCTCTCACACTCACACTCCTCCACTCCAACCCCAGTCGAGTCGAGACGCCTCACAAACAGACCCTTCCTGGTTCCCACATCTCTTCTCTTAGCCTCAACCCCCCCACCCCCAAACCCCGAACCCTTTATTTCCGTTATGTCCAACCCGTCTTTCCCACTCCCCTCTCCCCCTATCCATGCTCTCCCCATTCCTCCTCCTCTTTCCTCACCTCTGAATGCCTGTCCACTCCTCTCCAAGTTTCCCCATACTCCCTCCATCTCCCCCCCACCCTCCCTCCTCCAGCCCCCGCCCTCTCTCAACTCTCCCCCTTCTCCTCCGCAGGTTTCCCTCCCCCCGCTGCTCCCCCTCTTCCCCCTTCCCCTACCCCCCTCTTCCCCCTTCCCCTACCCCCCTCTTCCCCCTTCCCCTACCCCCCTCTTCCCCCTTCCCCTACCCCCCTTTTCCTCCTCTCTCACCTCAGAGTGGCTCTCGTGCGTTGAATGCCCACTCCGCTCCCACTTCCCCACCTCTTCCCCCGTAATTCCTGCCCCCTCCCCCTCCCGTTCCGCCAACTGCCCCCTCCCATCTCCCCTCTCTTCCCGCCCTCCATCCCCCTCCCGCCCTCTCCTCCTCTCTCACCTCCGGGTGGCTCTCGTGTGTCGGTTGTCCCACCTCCACGCTGCCTCCATCCCGCTAATCACCTGCTCCCCCCGTTCCGCCAACTACCCCCCCGCCTTTCCTTCCCCCCCCCCTCTCCCTCTCCTCCTCTCTCACCTCCGGGTGGCTCTCGTGTGTCGGCTGTCCCACCTCCACGGGGCCGCCATCCCGCCAATCACCTGCTGCCACCTGTAGACCTCGGCTGCAGCTGTGCTTCCAGCTGGCGACACACTGATCCGCGGTATTAGCTGGCGATGACGAGGAGATTCGATACGGGGGGATTTGATAGTAGGAGATTTGGGATTTGGAGATCTGATTCACGCTCGGTATTCTGTGGGAGCTAAGGCAAATTCCCTGGTTGAGGTCTAGGCTATATTCTGCACTGCAAAGGGGTGCAACTGCGGCGCGCGAAGGTGACTGGGTGGGAGATGGAATTAGGACGGACGGCCACGATGATGCCGACGGGAATCTTAGGATCGTAAACACCTTAGTCGGCAATAGTCTACTTGCTATTGCTTATCGTGTTCTCCACGATCTCCCAAATCCAACGATATGCGCAGCTCTGCTTGAAGTTGTCAATACACACTTCAGCAATTTCCAGAATCTGATTGGTTTCAATGTTGTGATTTCCAGAATGAGTACAAGCAGTTTTATAGTCAAGTAAGACACAAAATGCGATTCGTAACTTCACTTGTTTCCCAAGTAACCGCGTGCGCCTCGTTTCACCCCGAGTCGCACACGGAACCGAACCGAATTCACCGAACACTCCTCGAGTCCGATTCCAGCACCTTCTCGAACACGCCTCCAGCTCGAACCACAATTTCTCCCCGTCAATCTCATTCTCGATGCTTCTCCACTCTTCTCTCTCCATTTCTCTAGTTTCTTCCTGATTTCTCTCCCGCTTCTCACGCCGTAGCTTCCATTCTTCACCGTAGGCCGATTTCCACCGTTTTAGATCTAGAATCTCCCACGAGATCCATTCCGCCGTCATTCCGCATTTCGCCGTAGGTTCCGTGGTTCGTCGAACCAACCCTAACAGGGAAGTTCGAGCGGTACTTGCGACGACCTCTCACGAGGCGCCACATGGCGACACGTGACTCGCGAGGCCACGTGGACTGCTGTTCAGGCTTGGGGCGTGGAAGCGAGCCGATAGGCGGAAATTACCTGTTCCCAGACTGTGCGGCCCCAGTTTTCTAGGCAGGGCGTACTTGTCATAAGGTAAGCTGGGTTTGCGGTCATATGGATTTTCACATCAGCTAGCATTCTCAATTAACAAACCAGGTTTATTCAATTTATATTACCTTAACGAATCATGATTCTCGGGTACGGAGACATGGGGATTGACCCGTTTTGAAAAAGCGCAGCAGAATGATTCGCTGATAAGGAAGGTTGACAGAGAAGAAGCCGATTGGTTGCTATGTTTTCGATTGCTCGACGATCGCCGCCAATGTTTGTTTCGTTCTCCTTGAAAAATTGCCGGCGACTCTCGCGAGGTACTACGTGAGTATCTGGTTACAAATTCCGGCGACAGCACGTTCCCCCGATTCTTCGTTGTCGGACTCCAATGTCAGACTTATATTTCAGGTCATTACACTCGTAGTGTAATTCATAGGGAATTCTTTTATACCGCGAATTTTGTAACCTGTCAGGGCCGCCGCGCCATGTCCGCATCAGCGCGCGCCGCATCACTCGCTCGCCTTCCGCTTCTCCGCTCCCGCGCGCTCCCCGCCCTTCCTCTTTGCGCTACCGTCCCTTTCTCCCCTGCCTCGCCTTTGCGCGCGCCTCTCCCTCCGCCGTCTGGTTCCACCTTCCGCGCGCGCTTTCACGCAGCGGAAGCTCCGCCTTCGCAGATTCAATCTCGTCTCGTCCCGAGTAGCATGCTCGTGGCTGTTTCGTTGGACAGTAATGGGATTGAAGGTGAGTCGGTCACCTGCTGACATCCTTGAGTCGATTTAAAAGCATGGGGAGCATGCGGAGCCAAGTAACATGATCATGGCAGTGTGTTGGGACAGCGATGGGACAGCGATGGGACAGCGATGGGACAGCGATGGGACAGAAGGTGAGTTGAGAACTTGCTTGGACCTCACTCTTGAGTTGAAACAACAGCAAAGGGAGCATGGGGATTTTGCCTCACCCGTGTGAACCACTCGTCTTTTGTCACGTGATTTTCCCTCACCCGTGTGAACCACTCGTCTTTTATCACGTGATTTTGCCTCACCCGTGTGAACCACTCGTCTTTTATCACGTGATTTTGCCTCACCCGTGTGAACCACTCGTCTTTTATCACGTGATTTTGCCTCACCCGTGTGAACCACTTGTCTTTTATCACGTGATTTTGCCTCACCCGTGTGAACCACTCGACTGATATTATTTCTCCGCGCAATCACCCCCTCTTCGACCCTCAAATTTCCCAGTCCCTGTAGTGCTGGCATCTGGTGCAGACCTCTATGCTTCGCCCATCTGAGTCCGGATGGCAAGCAGCTGGCATGGATGGAGTGGAGCCACCCGACTTGTACTCTCCACCATGCCTGAGCCAGTTCTGTTCCATGCGCCTCCCTTTGCCACTCCTTGCCCCTTTCCCTTCCCAGTTCCCCTGGTGCTAGCGAGTGGAGCAGACTTCTACCCATCCCCACGCCTGAGTCCGGATGGCAAGCAGGTGGCATGGATAGAGTGGAGTGCGACCAACTTGTACGCTTCACCCTGACTGAGCCGGTTCCATTCCATCCACCTCCCCTTCCCCACCGACCGACCCTTTCCCCTCCAGTCCCCGTGGTGCTGGCGAGTGGGGCAGACTTCTATGCATCCCCACGCCTGAGTCCGGATGGCAGGCAGCTGGCATGGATGGAGTGGAGCCACCCGCACATGCCGTGGGAGAGAAGCCGTGTGATGGTTGGGACGTTCGATGATGATGGGTATGTTGAGGCGTGGCGTTTATCAAATGTATGTGGCATGGCATGGGGCACGGCAGCTGGCATGGGTGGAGTGGAGCCACCCGCACATGCCGTGGGAGAGGAGCCGCGTGATGGTCGGGATGTTTGATGACAATGGGTATGTTGAAGCGTGGTGTGGTGTGGTGTGGTGTGGTGTGGTGCGGTGCAATGGGCAGCTGGCATGGATGGAGTGGAGCCACCCGCACATGCCGTGGGAAAGGAGTCGGGTGATGGTCGGGGACATTCGACGATGATGGGTATGTGACATGGGTGTCATGACGTGGTATGACTTTGGCATGGGTGTGTATATGTGGTGATGCATGGGGAAGGGTAGGGAGGCAGCTGGCATGGATAGCATGGAGGCACCCACACATGCCATGGGAGAGGAGCCGCGTGATGGTGGGGGCATTCGATAATGATGGGTATGTCATGGGTATTTCTGTGTCTGTTTGCGTGTGTGCGTCATGTCATGGCATGGCATTGGAACGTGAATGGCATGGAGGCACCCACACATGCCGTGGGAGAGGAGCTGGTTGATGGTCGGAATATCCAATGATCATGTGTGGCACGTTGATGGTCGGCACATCCAATGATCATGTGTGGCACGTTGATGGTCGGAACATCCAATGATCATGTGTGGCACGTTGATGGTCGGAACATCCAATGATCATGTGTGGCACGTTGATGGTCGGCACATCCAATGATCATGTGTGGCACGTTGATGGTCGGCACATCCAATGATCATGTGTGGCACGTTGATGGTCGGAACATCCAATGATCATGTGTGGCACGTTGATGGTCGGAACATCCAATGATCATGTGTGGCACGTTGATGGTCGGAACATCCAATGATCATGTGTGGCACGTTGATGGTCGGAACATCCAATGATCATGTGTGGCACGTTGATGGTCGGAACATCCAATGATCATGTGTGGCACGTTGATGGTCTGACGAAGGCGATTACGCCGAAACTAGTTACCACCATTTGATTTACACAAGAAACCATTCTACAACCAGGCTTTCACGCCTGAAATCTTTCTGAACCTATTTTTGCTCTAAAGAAACCGCTGCCTCGTAATGTCTCCCACCACAAAGTGGTGCTCCTATGGTCGGGACATCCAAAGATCATGTGTATGTCATGTCGTGGCTTGACTTAGGCATGGCATAGGTATGTGTGTGGTGAGGCGTGGGGGAGCATGGGCAGCCAGCTAGCGTGGGTAGAGTGGAGGCACGTGCGCATGCCATGGGACAGGAGTCGGGTGATGGCAGGGGCATTTGATGATGTTGGGTATGTTGAGGTGTGGTGTGGTGCGGTGTGGTGCAAGGGGCAGGTGGCATGGGTTGAGTGGGGACCACCTGCACATGCTGTGTGAGAGGAGCCGGGTGATGGTTGGATTGGGGCATGTGATGACGGGCATTGTGATGGTTCCTCCATTCCTCACACTCCATTCCCAACGTATATCGCTCTCCATCTCTCTTTATCTCCGCCCTTCTCTCCCCATCCCTCTCCACCTCTCCATCCCCTCAAGCCTCCTCGCATCGGTGCAGTGCGCAGTGTGCAGTGTGCAGCGCAATCACTCCAGTCTCCCTCGTGGAGTCGAGTCAATCACTCCAGTCTCCCTCGTGGAGTCGAATGAATCACCCTTCGACCCCTCTCTCCCCATCTCTCCCTCTCTTCTCTCCCCTTTCCGCACCTGTCCGTTCCAGTCTGCACCTGTCTGTCCTCACATCAGTGCAGAGTGCAGCAGGGACGGATGCCGCTATAATCGAAGCACCCATGGAACCCCTCTGGTCGCCACAAGGTACTGAGCGAGAGAGAGCATTGTTGCGTGGTAACCAGCATATGTGTGCACGTATGGGGAGCGGCAGGTGCAGATGCTGCTGCCATGTCGATCTCATATCACCCATGGAACCACTCTGGTCACCACAAGGTACGAAACATGCCAGTGCAATGTAACATGGTAACCCATATGTGTCGGAATGGCATTGGCTTGGCATTACTCTTGGGAGTGAGAGGAGCAGATGCCGCCATGCCAGAAGCACCCATGGAGCCCTCTCCCCTCTACCCTCTCCTGTCTCCCTTTCCCCTCTCCCCAATCCTCTCCTTCCAGGCGAGCTCTATTTTCTCTCAGATCGCCACTCTGGCTTCTGGGATCTGCACCGATGGGTGAGTCATATTGCTCAGGTGCTATCTGATCAGCTCAGGTGCTATCTGATCAGCTCAGGTGATACCTGCGCTGCTCAGGTGATACCTTCTCAGGTTACATATGTTGTTCAGGTGATACTGGTGCGGGTTTGATGTGTTCAGATGATATGTGGCCAGTCATTATCTCGTCAGGTGCTTACTCAGGTATCAGGTCCATGATCCATTCCATTAACCTCAACAGTTGGTTTCCCCATCCACCTTCCCCCTGGTGCGTGCTCTGCAGAACCCCGCATCAGGCACAGCAGAAGCAGTGGCAGGCGTGTCAAAGCACCCTCCCTCCCTACGTGTCAAGGCACCCTCCCTCCCTCCGTGTCAAAGCACCCTCCCTCCCTCCGTGTCAAAGCACCCTCCCTCCCTCCGTGTCAAAGCACCCTCCCTCCCTCCGTGTCAAAGCACGAGGGCACCGATCTGCTGGTGGAGGTTGGGGGACCCCCCTCCCTCCGTGTTCTCCCTAAAAGCTGCTTCTCCCATCCTCCCTACTTCCTGCTCTCTGCAGGACCCTCATCAGGCGCAGCAGAAGCAGTGGCAGGCATGCCTAAGCACGACGGAGCTGATCGGATGGTGGAGGTTGGGGGCTCTGGGCTCCTCTCCTCTCTCCACTTGCTTGAACCCTCCATCCGCCCTTCTCCCATCCTGCTCTCTGCAGAACCCCTCATCAGGCACAGCAGAAGCGGTGGCAGATATGCCGAAGCACGACGGAGCCGGTCTGCTGGTGGAGGTTGGAGGGCCCCTGTGGGTGTTTGGGAATGCCTCCTACGCGTTCATCCCTGGCACCTCGCACCACGTGGCTGTCATCTGCCAGTGAGTTGATATGTGTCACTGTGGCCTGCACTAACTAACTGTGGATTTTTGAGACGTCTCAAAACAAAATCAAAATTTTGAGACGTCTCAAAACAAAATCAAAATTTTGAGACGTCTCAAAACAAAATCAAAATTTTGAGACGTCTCAAAACAAAATCAAAATTTTGAGACGTCTCAAAACTGTGAGTTGATATGTGTCACTGTGGCCTGCACTAACTAACAGTGGAGGTTGGAGGGCCCCTGCGGGTGTTTGGGAATGCGAGCTATGCATTCATCCCTGGCAGCTCACACCACGTTGCTGTCATCTGCCAGTGAGTTGGTTTTTTAGGCGCCTACTCAACCTGATTCATATTCCCTACTAATTACTATCATTCACCCACTCCCTCACTCACTCCCTTGCTCACTTCCATGAATCATGTCGGGTGTTTTTGAGAATTCTCAAAAACACCCTGTACTAATTACTATCATTCACCCACTCCCTCACCCACTCTCTCACTCACTTCCATGAATCCTGTCGCCCTCCGCCTTCCTCTCAGAGTGAAGGGTCGGTCTCGGCTACGGGACATCAGCGCTCATACTTACTGACTATACACTCATTCCCTCTCTTACTTCCACCCTCCTCTCTTCCTCTCAGAGTGAAGGGACAGTCTCAGTTGGGAATGATCGACACTCATACTCGTGCCTTCACACTCACTCCTCCCTCCCACCCTCCTCTCAGTCAGATGTCCCACCTGGTAAGTGGTTACCACTCACTCCCCCAATGCACTCCAGCCCTCCAGTAACCGTGTTCTTCCTTGTAACCACAATTCTGGAACCACAATCAGACATAATTTAAAGTCTTTTGTAGGCGCCTATAGTTCCTCGTTGCAACTCTATCTTTAACACTTCTAAGGGGCGCCTCAAAAGCCACCATGTCACCTTATACCAAGTCAAAATTCAAGACATTACAAAACCCTCGTAAGTGGTTACCACTCACTCTCATGCTCTACATTGACTTCCTCTGTCGTCTCTCTAACATACCCCCTATTGCCAATCGTAGTCTTCCTGTATAAGCCAGCCTTGTTTTTTTAAATAGCTCTAGCTGCGCCGGTGTTGTTTGTTTGACAAATACTGCTAAGCTGGGCGTATAACTGGCATTACACTACACCACACTACACCACACTGCACCACACTACACTTCTCCTCGATTCAGTTCTGTGGGGATTTTTTTTTGTCCAACTGAGATTTAGAAAAACGGCTCAACACATAGCTTTTCTGATCACTCATGGCATTATGATTCACAAAACCATAATGCCATGACATCGCAGCATCAACATCACATTACTCGCATCACATCTTCGCACACACGCATTCTATGAGCAGGTGGCCGGCAAGGATCGTCTTTTTGCGTGTGCTGGCGGCCCCTCCACGCCGCTCTCGTTCTTTGAGGTATTATTGCTAGTATCTGCATTAGTGCTTCAAAGTGGTTCTGTGTGGTACTCTCAGTCATGACCCCAGTGCAAGACACCCACCTTGCCATTCACATCATTTGAGCGTTGTCGTATCTTTTTCTTTGAGGAGTGGGAGGGGGCAAGCATACCTCCATTTATTTTCTTCTTCTTTTGTCATGCCCCCTCCCACTCCTCCAGCTGAAGCCCTCCCCAGATATGACCTCTCTACAAGTCATCTACCCTCCCATCCGCGTGTCAACAACCATCCACACCGCGTTCCTTGCCCCTTTCTCTTGTGATGCATTTGTGCCTTGTGCTGCTTGCCCTTCCTGCACCCTTCCCACTCCCCCAGCTGAAGCCCTCCCCAGATATGACCTCCCTGCAAGTCATCCACCCCCCCATCCGCCCGTCAACAACCATCGACACCGCGTCACTCGCCCCCTTCCTCTCCTCGCCTCAATGGATCGAATTTCCCACCACCACCCCACCAGCCCAAGCAACCTCACCAGCCGATGCACTTCACACCACACCACACTCCTCCGCACCCAACCGCACGGCCCATGCGCTCTTCTACCCACCTGTCAGCGGCACCTTTCAAGGGCCGCAAGGGGCCCTCCCGCCTCTGCTGGTGAAGTGCCACGGGGGCCCCACGGGGTGCCTCGACTCCGCTCTCCGCCTGCCGCTGCAGTTCTGGACTTCCAGAGGCTTCGCTGTCGTTGATGTGAATTACGGGGGGAGCACTGGTGAGTATGGGGATGGGGGCAGCAGCACAGCACAGCACAGCACAGCACAGCACAGCACAGCACACCACGCTCCGCACACTCCGCACCCCTTTGCACAGCACACACGCGCCCTAGTCTTTACTTTTTTAGTTAGGCTCAGGGATCCTTCCAAGGGCCGCAAGGGGTGCTGCCTCCTCCTCTGCTGGTGAAGTGCCACGGTGGCCCCACGGGGTGCCTCGACTCCGCTCTCCGCCTGCCGCTGCAGCTCTGGACTTCCAGAGGCTTCGCTGTCGTGGATGTGAACTACGGGGGGAGCACGGGTGAGTGAGTGGGATGGGGGCAGCACAACAAACTACACTTGGCAACCACAATAACTGCAGCTCTGGACTTCCAGAGGCTTTGCCGTGGTGGATGTGAAGTGAACTACGGCAAAGCCTCTGGGGGGAGCACGGGTGAGTGGGATGGGATGGGAGTGGTGCGGACAGCACTGGTGCGTTGCCACGCCACACGACACCATCGCATGCCATCCCATCCCATGCCATGATGCCACACACACCAAGGTACGGAAGAGAGTATAGGGGCGGCTGCATGGGCAGTAGGAGTGGAGAACGTTGATGATGCCATCCCATGCCATGCCATCCCATCCCATGCCATGCCATCCCATTTCATGCCATCCCGTCCCATGCCATCCACGCCACACTATTATCCCACACCATCCTGTGCCATCCCATACACACCAAGGTACGACCGTGAGTATAGGGGCGGCTGCATGGGCAGTGGGGAGTTGTGAGCGTTGACGATGCCATCCCATCCCATGCCATGCCATGCCATGCCATCCATGTCACACCATGCCATACTATGCCAAACCATGCCATCCCATCCAATGCCATCCCATCCATTCCATACCATACCATGCCATGCCACACCATCCCATCCCATGCCATACACACCAGGGTACGGCCGAGAGTACAGGGAGCGGCTGCGTGGGCAGTGGGGAGTGGTGGGTTTTTAGAGTCGGCTCAATAATCATGTCACTCCACTCCATACCATACCATGTCGCACCATCCCATCCCATGCCATCCCGTGCCATGCCACACACACCAGGGTATGGCCGAGAGTACAGGGAGCGGCTGCGTGGGCAGTGGGGAGTGGTGGACGTTGACGATGCATGCTGCTGCGTCGATTACCTGGTAACTGCTTCCTCTTTTGAGACGTCTCAAAACTGGTTTTGAGACGTCTCAAAACTGCTGCGTCGATTACCTGGTAACTGCGTCCTCTTTTGAGATGTCTCAAAACTTCCTCTTTGTGTTCAGGTGTGCGTGTGTTTTGAGTTGACTCAATACACGCATGGGCAGTGGAGAATGGTGGACGTTGACGAGGCATGCTGCTGCGTTGTGTGCCTGGTAACTGCTTACTCTTTATGATCACTTTGTTTATTTGTTACCACTCACTGTGCTTCGTAGCGTTTGCTTCAGGAGCTGTAAGCACCGTACCTGCAGCCTTTGAAAGACCAACAATCTTGATTGATATACAAACCAGCAAAAAAAAGAAGAAGAAAAGAAGAGAAAAATCTCACGGTACGGAACGGCTCTGAGTTTTTTTTTTGTTCCAGACGTTGTCATCCGTGCCTACTCACCCCTCTGCCTTGGTGCTGCTTTTGAGAATTTCCAAAAGTAACACCAATATTGCTCACTCCCCCCCCCCCAAATACATGCAGGGCTGGTGGACGGCAGCAGGGTGGCCATTGATGGGTCATCAGCAGGAGAGTTTCTCACTCACTCCAACCTACCAACCCTCTGCATCCTGCTCTCTGCCTACCTCCTCCCCCTCCCCCAACTTCTCCCCAGGTGCGTGCAGGGCTGGTGGGCGGCAGCAGGGTGGCCATAGACGGGTCATCAGCAGGAGGCTTCAAACCCTTTGACACGCCTCAATTGCTCCCTGTCTGCCTACTCACTACCATCTGCCCTCACCCCACCTTCAACCTCTCCCTGCCTCCCCTCTCCAATCTCTCCCCAGGTGCGTGCAGGGCTGGTGGACGGCAGCAGGAGGGTGGCCATAGACGGGTCATCAGCAGACGGGCTGTTCACTCACTTCACTCTACCACCTGCCTTCTCCCCACCTCTCCTCCCCCACTTTCTCCCCAGGTGCGTGCACAGCTGGTGGACGGCACTAAGGTGGCCATTGACGGGTCATCAGCACGCAAATTCCCCCATTCCCTTTGAATTGATATCTCCTGATGCCTTACTTCTCTACATTCTCTCCCCAGGTGCGTGCAGAGCTGGTGGACGGCAGCAGGGTGGCCATAGACGGGTCGTCAGCATGAAGGCTCCTCATTCGCTTTCCCCCTACCAACCTGCTGCACCCTACTCTCTGCCTACCCCCCCCCTGCCCCTCCACTCTCTTCTCCCCAGGTGTGTGCAGGGCTGGTGGACGGTACTAAGATGGCCATCGATGGATCATCAGCAGGAGGCTTCACCACCCTCTCGGCTCTCACCTTCCGCTCTACCTTCAAGGCTGGATGCTCTCTGTATGGGGTAAGGCGTGTTGGCATCAGGTTGGTAACTCCACTCTCCATGCTAGTGACACTTGTTTTTTAGAATTCTCAAAACTAAGGCATGTTTGCATCAGGTGGGTTACTCTCACTCTCCATGCTAGTGATGCTTGTTTTTTAGAATTCTCAAAACTAAGGCATGTTTGCATCAGGTAGGTAACTCTCACTCTCCATGCTAGTGACGCTTGTTTTTTAGAATTCTCAAAACTAAGGCATGTTTGCATCAGGTAGGTTACTCTCACTCTCCATGCTAGTGATGCTTGTTTTTTAGAATTCTCAAAACTAAGGCATGTTTGCATCAGGTGGGTTACTCTCACTCTCCATGCTAGTGATGCTTGTTTTTTAGAATTCTCAAAACTAAGGCATGTTTGCATCAGGTAGGTAACTCCACTCTCCATGCTAGTGACGCTTGTTTTTTAGAATTCTCAAAACTAAGGCATGTTTGCATCAGGTAGGTTACTCTCACTCTCCATGCTAGTGATGCTTGTTTTTTAGAATTCTCAAAACTAAGGCATGTTTGCATCAGGTAGGTAACTCTCACTCTCCATGCTAGTGACGCTTGTTTTTTAGAATTCTCAAAACTAAGGCATGTTTGCATCAGGTAGGTAACTCTCACTTTCCATGCTCGTGACGCTTCACCACCACGCTTTCAGCTCTCTCCTTCCGCTCTACGCTCAAACCTGGAGGCTCCTTGTATGGGGTAAGGTGTGGTGTTGTCGAATGGCCGGTTCTGCTTTGTTGATAGTTGCACGCTATGGAGTCGAGCGGAAAAACAAGTCCTGTTTGTTCCCACCTGTTGGTCAGTTTGGAAATCCCGAGGCTCTGGCTCAGATGATGCACAAATTTGAAATGCGAGGTGACTTTGAGGCGACTCAAAGAACAATCCCTAAGAACAATCCCTAAGAACAATCCCTAAGAACAATCCCTAAGAACAATCCCTAAGAACAATCCCTAAGAACAATCCCTAAGAACAATCCCTAAGAACAATCCCTAAGAACAATCCCTAAGAACAATCCCTAAGAACAATCCCTAAGAACAATCCCTAAGAACAATCCCTGCCTGCCTGCTCCCACCTGTTGAGCAGATTGGAGATCTCGAGGCTCTGGCTCAGATGATGCACAAGTTTGAAATGCACTACACCGATACACTTGTTGGTGAGTTTTTTTATTTCTGCAAGATCTCCATTCACCAATTTTTAGTGTCTCCTACCAGTGCACTTTTTTTTTTTTTCCTTTTTTTCGCAGCATCTGAGCTCTAATTTACTGTCTATGTTTTTGTTATGACATGTTAAAGGGTGAAGCAAAACTGTGTTATATAAATGAAAAAGAGAATAATGTTAAAAGTGGGGCGCTCGTGTCTTTAATTCCTCGGCAATTATTCATGACTCATCTTTTGAGAATGCACTGCTTGTAAGGGTAAGTACGCCTCAAAAGTTGAAACTCGTCTGCCTCTCTCCCCTCTTTCTTCCAAACCCCCAGCACCATACAACACTCCCGAGGGAAAGCAGCTGTACAGGGAACGTTCACCGATCAACCACGTGGACAAACTCGCATGCCCCTTGCTGCTGCTGCAGGGACTTAAAGACCAGGTACGGTGAGGAAGTTGGGAGCTCTTAGTAGTAAATTAATCCAGGGAAAGCAGCAGTACAGTGATTGTTCACCGATCAACCACGTGGGCAAGCTTGCATGCCCATTGCTGCTGCTGCAGGGAATTAAAGACCAGGTACGACAAGTAGGATTGGGTGTTGACAATTTCCATGTGATATGAAGTTGAAATGCCTGAAGGCCAGGTGCAGTGAATATGCGAGGCATTGAGTACTGTCAGACCTTTGCCAAGCTCAGCCATGCAGAGAGGCATGTACCATTTCTTGGCACGTTGCTAAACAAAACAGAAAAACACCAAAAAACAAACAAAACGAACAACAAACCAAGTGTGAGAGCCAAAAATCTGTCTATCTGGCTGCCTCAATACCATCTTTCCACTCCCATCTCGTTCCCTGCATCCTGATCCCTCTGCCTTGCCAGGTTGTGAGTCCTGAGCAGGCCCGGGCCATGCACGCTGCAGTGAAGGCCAAGGGGCTGCCAGTGGCTATCGTTGAGTTCCCAGATGAAGACCACGGCTTCAGGAATGTGAGTATGGTGAAGCCATGTGAGAACAGTGACTTTACGCAATTGTAGCTCATGTGAAAATGGCATCCGCCGTGTGTGGACGAGGGGCAGAGAACATCCAGGTTGCACAGGAGATGGTACACTAGTACTTCTGCCATGGCTCGACTGAAAAAGATTCGTCGTAATCTTTTGCACACTCGTTATGCATCGACTCGACTCACCATTACCGTACCATTATCCTTGCATGGTGACCTGGCAGGCGGACAACATCAAGGCAGCACTGGAGATGGAGCATGAGTTCTTCTGCCGTGTCTTGCTCAATCTGCCTCTTCCATCTGACAAGAAGCGGCTGACCATTGACAATGTTGATGAAGACGCGTAAGCTGCTTAACACTAGCAGTCTACATGTCCAGTGAACATTACAAACTTCTTGGCTGTAGCTGTGTGAGCGGTGGTGGACCGAGTTGAGTTACAGTATTGATAGAGTAAAGTTTGTGGGATTGAACGCAAATAGTTGTCCATTATGAGTGCTGCATATCAACCATAAACTCTCGAGCGGCACCTAACTAAAAGGTATGGCTACAGCAGCAGCAACAACTACCATAATAACGTGAAACAAAAATAATGACACCAATTATACAGAGTGGCAACGAAGTAAGAGGAACCAGGTTTGTCAAGAGTCTTTCTTTGACTCGGCAGACCCATTCACTGTAGTACTCCCTTCACTGTTTGCCAGTATGGGTTCAGCCTCCTGCGAGGTACGAAATGATACAGGAGTGTGTGGGGAATAACTAAGTTACGAAAACAAATTTCAGCAGACGGGGAAAGAAGATGTGGTCAGGTGCGGCAGCGAGGGTAGGATGCATGGACGAAGTGAGACAGAACAAAAAAAAAACTAGCCGCTAGGGAGGCGTGTGACAAAGGGCGTTTGCGAGAGGCGAGAGGGGAGGGGAAGGAGCGTGGGGATGGGGAGGGAAGGGGGGGTTGGTTTGGAAGGAAGGAAGGGGGAGGAGAGGGAGGGGGAGAAGAAGAGGTGGCCGGACAAACGAATGGAGGTCGTCAAACAGAGTCATAAAAAGGGTGTACTTACTGGTAGTGGTTTTCTCGCTCCTGGCTTGTACGGACAGGAAGGACCATCTCGAAGCGGCGGATTGTATTCTCGGCCAATCAGACGGAAGAAGAGCACCTGCAGCGACATGGCGTTAGTAGTACGAGGATGATACGAAGGTGATAAGCGGACACGATGGTGATAAGTGAACGAATCCGGAGAGATACAGTGCATCGCATCAACTGAACTACGTAAGAATAGTAACGTAAAACGATGTCGCAAACTGATATAAAAGAAGGAACACTGTACCAAACCAAGCGGGAGATTAAGGAGCTGTCTTGGAGGGATTCGTTGATTGTAAGCCGTTGCGACTTACAATTAGTTTGTCCCACAAACGAGGGAGGATGTTGACTAGAGGCAGTAGGAAGAGAGGGAGAAGACAGAAAACGCACACCTGCAGCGACGAGGACAAAAGAGACAGGATGAGATGCTAACAGCTTTCAACTGAGCCTGGACTGACCGAACTCAGCGCGAGCGAAACACGACCGTACCATGATTGCTTCTCCTGGAGAATAAGTAAATCAGCAAGGAGCCTGGATGATAAGAAGTGGATATTTACTTCCTGGCGTAAATCGTGTCGCCGTAACAAAGTAGCGTCGGGGTCTAGAATCTAGTAAGGGTTGAACTGTGTGATCAGCTTGAAGGGTGCATGGATGGAACACGCAGGTCCTACACATATTACGTAGTCTGATTCTCAGGGCATGCTTGATACCAGGCTGGATGTGAGTCAGGGAACAAGTTCCGTGTAGTATCACCAAGACACATTCTACAACAGGGAACACGTACGCATATTTCCATTCCTTACATGCCATCAGGAACTCGAGGCTCGCTTTCGGGTTCAAACCCAGGAATCTGAAACACCGCCTCAGAACTTTGTCGAGTGTTTTTTAGGTGAGGTGAGAGCTCCCGCCCTACCGTGTCGGCTACGAACCTGCCCGATGCTTCGTCTGTCAGATGGGTTCGATAGTAGGCCGATCATTTCTGTGCTTACTCTCACTCGTATTTTCGCATTTCCCTTTGTTTTCGTAACCTGGATCCCAAGGAAATCATCCTAGCTTCAAGGTTATTGTTCCGCAGTTAGCATTCCAGCTTGAAAGTCAGGTTTTGCGCTGTCGATATTCCACAAACAGAAATTCGATCTCTCTGTGACGCGTATAGCGAATCCACACAAGCATCGACGATGACAGATCCTCCCACACCACAACATATCCTCCTCAAGTCTAGACCTAACGATCAGTCATTACCGATGCTCTGACAACCCAATCGACAGAACTGTGACAACCGCTGCCTCTCACACGCGCATACTCTTAGTCTCCCCCCTTCCTGCTTCTGCTCTCATACGCGAACACTCGCTAGGGTTGAGTTTGTTGAGATGGACGAATTCGAGAGCTTAATCCAGAGTTTCTCAGATGCCCTCAAGTCGAAATGGAAAGAGGTTACCGACGGCCCTCCGATCACCGACCAGATCCAGGCGTTCATCCACGCCGTTGATTGGACGGTGAGACCCTCCTCCACACCTGAATGTCGACAAATATTTGAGCGGATCAGCTGGTTGGAATCCTTAGTCACACGTAGCATGCATGGATGTAGCTGGTTTGCCGTTCTTGCCTAGGAAATCTGTTCCTTTGAATTCTCACGGCCGTCATTCCGACCTTTCCGCCGTTCGCGCGGCTCGATGATGAATTGCAGGAGCCATGGATAATCGGGCTGCTGTCGTTTCACGCCGCGTTGCTTCTCATGGTGCTCCTCACTCGCCGATGGCAGAACTTCCAGTTCGTCGTCTTCGCCTTCTGCGGTGAGTGCACGTGGCCAGGTGAGTGCACGTGTCCAGGTGAGTGCACGTGGCTAGGTGAGTGCACGTGCCTTATGCAGTGAGTCCACGTGTCGTTTGAGATAACGTTCTCTTCCAGATCGGATCCCTCATCTGTTTGTCCCCCTCACACACGGCAATGGCAGATTTTTCACCTCCCACCCTTCGCCATGTGTGCATTGAGTACGTTCAAGGGGTGCACTACGATTAAACTTACAGGCCTTTCCCTATTTTCCCCTCACTGTTTTATACCGTCCTAAACCCATTCAAACCGACTTGTGGTCGCAGCGCTGTTTGACAGTGCGCTTGTTCACCTTGATCCACCCCGTTTCTTCCCTTTCTGTTCACCCGCTCACAAACTCCCTCCATTCATCCGTCCTCCAACCCACCCATCTGCAACCCACCCATCCTACCCATCTGCGAGTTACCAACCCACCCATCTGCAACCCACCCATCCTACCCATCTGCGATACCAACCCACCCATCTGCAACTCACCCATCCTACCCATCTGCGAGTTACCAACCCACCCATCTGCAACCCTCTTAACATACCCATTCGCGCGCGACCCACCCAACCCACGCGTCTGCAAGAGGGGTTTAGCGTTCAGGACTTCAGGTTTACAAATTGTGGTATTCTGATTCACCCTCCCTAAACCCGCCCAACCCTAGACCCTGCAACCCCAACAGGCATTCGGGTACTAGGGTGTGCTTATAACTGCATTCTCCACTCATTCTGTACTTCTCCCGCTTACTCGTTGCGCTCTTGTTTGGTAGCATAGTTAGACGGGTTTTGTTGAGATGTCTCAAAATTCTTAGTGCACGGATTTGGTGGCGCACATAAACGCACACAATCCTTTGCACCTGGATTTCTGGCGGCCCCTCCTCCTACCCTTCTCGCTCCCCCCTCCCCCTCCACCCCCTATCTTCCCGCTCCTGTCTCCCTCTCATGCGATTGTGCAGCCATAGTGATGTTTCTCAAACGCAATCTGTACTTTTCTTTTCCCCTCCGGCTCCCCCCGAAACCCTCCCACCCCTCTCTTTCTCCCCTCCATGAATTCATGCAGCCATGCTGGTGTATCTAGCGGAGCACAAACGCAAACGCTACCCTGTGCTTCCTCCTCCTCTTCTTACCCCCTCTTTTTCCCCCTTTCCCTGCCTTCCTGCCCCGTTTCCCCCCACCCTTTCCACAACCATGCAGCCATGCTGGTGTATCTAGCGGAGCACATAAACGCATATGCTGCCTTGTTTCCCTTCCCCCACCCACTCCTCTTATCCACTCGTGCTCCCCCTTTCCTTGCCTTCCTCCCCCCCTTCTCTCCCCCCTTCTGCAGTTTCTCAGCCATACTGGCGTATCTAGCAGAGCACATAAACGCGGTCTACTCTCATACTGATAACTTTCGCCCTTCTCTTTCCATCTCTCCCCTATCCAACCGTGCAGCCATTCTAGTGTATCTAGCGGAGCACATAAACGCGTACGCGGCGCATCACTGGAAGCTGTTTTCCCGCCAGAACTACTTCGACCAATACGGGCTCTTCGTCTCGGTGCTCTTCTCAGGCCCCATACTCGTCATCGCGATTGTCATTCTGGTGAGAACAGACGGGTATGCAGTGCACTGGCTGGTGGAAGATTCCCTAGGTCAGCTCTTCTCTGGTCCCATACTCGTCATCGGGATTGTCATTTTGGTGAGAAGATACCAAGTGCTGGTAACTAAGTTAGTTGTCAAGTTTCCCCCAACCGCCTCTTCTCAGGCCCCATACACGTCATCGCGATTGTCATTCTGGTAAGAAAATAGCAATTGTTAGTAGCTCAGCTCGTTGTCAGGTTGACCCACCTGAAGACCCACCCACATCAGCTCCTCTCAGGCCCCATACTGGTAATTGGGATTGTCATTCTGGTAAGCAGAAACGGGCATGCAGTGCACTGGTTGAGGAAGATTGGCTCAAGTCAGCTCTTCCCAGGCCTCATACTCGTTATCAGGATTGTCATGTTGCTGAGAAGATATCAAGTGTTAGGCACAGCTCGTTTTCAGATTGTCCCACCCAAATCAGCTCTTAGAGATTGTCATTCTGGTAAGTAGGGACCAAGTGTCTGTAGCGCAGGTAAGTGAGCCAAATCGACCCAAGTCAGCTCCTTCCTGGCCCCGTCTGTGCCATTGGGATTGTCATTCAGGTATCGGAGTTGCTACTCGTGCCATAAGAAGTGCCATTCTGGTGTTCAGATGCTAGTTTTGGTCATTTTTTTAAGGTGCCTCATAAATCCTTGTGGCATCGCGATGCCAGTGTTTGTTACGCGGCACTTTTGAGAATTCTCAAAAGTAACTCCCATTGCAATGCCAGTGTTTGTGACGCGGCATCGGTCAGGCTTGATGAGACACCTCAAAAGCTGATTTGGCACGCTAGGCCTTTGCACCAATCTGGATTGTTTTTTTAGGCACCTCAGGAGACTCATCAAATGCGAATTATCTAGCAAAGGCTTCCCTTTCGCTGAGCTGCAGTTTTGCTACACCCACGTGCATGCACCCCGCGTACTTTTCCTTTTTTATCGTATTCTCCTCCTTCCCTCTTTGGTATGTGCATGTGCTGAATGTGATGGTGAAAGTGGAGTGATGCAGAACTTCTTGGTCATACGGTAAACCCCTCTCTCATGATGCACTTTGTACGTGCCTAAGCAAACTTCTCCATGTGTCTGTGCAGGTGCAACTAATGATCAGTACGGTTGAACTGATGGTGAAGTGGAAGAAGGCAGAGCTCAAGCACAGGGCGAGAAAGGCAGCACAGCAAGAGAGGAGAAAAAAAGAGTAGATGCAGTGCGGTACCATGTTGGAGCCGAGTTGGAGTTAATTTCCCCCCTCCAACCCCCCTCTTAAAAAAAAAAAAACAAAAAAAAAAACAAATTCCAATATGGTTTTGCCATGAACAAGCAAATAGAGAACCCGCCAAGGCTCAGTGTTATAAGGCGAGATGGACCAACCCAACTGGTATACTTGGATTGGATCTACCCTACTTTCCATGCGAAATTGACCTCTTCCTGATTCAAGCTATGGGGCAAGCAATACAAATCATTCACAGCGCAGCATCACAGAAAAAATCCACAGAACCGTGACAGTACCAGCATTTGGGAATAGGAGAGTAATCTCTAAACATAGTGTCATTACGTTACCTAAGGCTAAACTACCAAACGCTAACACGCGTCGCACTGTAGCGGAGCAAGTGAACTCAAAACACTCAAACTGGTATCGGCTGAACTGAGTCCACCCCCTGAAGGATAAAAAACTTGCCCCGGAAAAGCTTCCCACCCTTAATCTTCACCTTCGATTTATCCAACTTGCGACCGTTCACATCCTTCAGATCTTTCGCGCCCTTGATATCACCCTCCTCGTAAAGTCCGTCAAGAATGTTCGCGCGAATCAAACTCTTGTAGGAGCGAACCTCGCTAGGTTTCACGCTCGGCTTCATCATGGAGTACAGCGCGTCAGGGACCGCGGAAGCGATGGCCAGGTCTTCTGGGATCAGTACGGTTTTGCGGTCGGCTTTGTCGAGAAAATCGTCCGTTGGGTTCCAGTCGGTCTCTGAATCACACGGAAAAGGAATTGCGAAAAGTTCAGAGGTTAGCAATAGCAAGCTCAGTCTAAAATTCAAGACAAATGCTTGAATGTTTCAAAGGATGGAAGGGTGAAACACACGCAAACGCACTCGCACAACACGCGCACGCACGCAGCGCGCTAACCCATCTGGGGGATGATGTTATCGAGGAACGTGACGCTGGCACGGTGTCGGCCGTTCAGTTTCGGATCATTGAGCGCGTCTCGGGCCTTCTTCACCTCGGCGATAAAATTCCCCTTGGTGGGCCGCGCCGCAGCCGGCGCGAGGAGAAACGCGAGAGTGCAGACGGCCAGAACGGTAAGTTGCCAGGATGACGCCATGGCGTCCGTGTGAAGTAGAACAGGGGGGAACTGGAAACCTGGCTTGGAGCGGCACCAAGTGTATATTGAGCAGTGGTGCGAGTGAAACCCTCGTCCTGTCACTGCGAGAACGTCTCTTCAAGGGTGCATCACCGCAGCAGGTTCTGTTTGTAACCTGATGTGACTGACATCACACCCCCTGCAAGTGTTTCAGTAGTTCCCCTGCAACGGTGCCCGCCAAGGGAGTGTTACTTCAACATTTGGAAGCAAGTGGTTTAAATGACGGATCGATACACCTACTCACCCAAGACACTCGGCCAGTATCACACGGTTGAATGGCGGTTGGAGTTCAGAATTGATAGATAACGATGGATCCACAATAACCGAGCTGGGACTTTTGACGCAATTGGGATACTTTTGGGATGTTTTTTTTAGCTGTTTTGATTCTACACCACCCGGTCAAGGGTATCTTGCTCATGAATGTTCAGTCGGCTGTGAATTTCGTTGACCGACACTTTTTCCTGCTGGCCTGGAAGGCACCAAATCGCCGTGCCGTGCCTGCCAGCCACCATTCCCATCCCATCCCATGCCACACCTTCTACCCCAGAAGGATCCCTTCGCCCGCCACTCTGGGGCGTGGGAGAAGTGAACATGCAACGCCCTTTTCATTTTCCGAATGCCCCCATATTTGGAAGTGGCTGGTGACTCCGTTCCATTCAACAGTGCGGTTGGAAAAACTTTGGCAGCTTCAGCTTTCATCAAGAACTTTGGAAAGTCTTCTCATCCCACCCACCCATCCAGAAAGAATTGTTTCAAGTCATTGTAGTTTCAATATAGGGTATTAATGGGGTAATACTTCGTATACCCTGTTTGTTGGCTGGAAATGATGGGGTTCGACAATGAGCTCACAACCTTTCCTCACAACAACCGCCCCTTCGAGGCTGACTGGGATCACCCCCAAACCCAACCAGCCAACTCCTTCGAGGATGCACTCTTGACTCTCGCCTCCAGCTTCCCAAACCTATCCCTGCATTCAACCAGCCACGTCAGGCAGTTGACACCACTTCACCAGATTTGTTCTCTTGCATCTCAGAAACTGACACTGACCACAAATAGCAAAGCAATCCATTGCGTTACCCAAACTGCGTTATAAGGATAAGCGTGTAAAAAAAAAAATTGCAGAAGTTACACGTTTGCAGCAGTTTGGTTGCTTTCTATAACAAAACTCACTAACCAATACACAATTACTTGCAAATCTTAACTGGCGGGTGTAATAAGTAAAGAAACACACATATTTATTTTGCAAGGATGCAATAAGAACTGTGTTTTTATTACTAGAGATTGGGCAACCTTCCTAATGTTTACCATCATGGCTAGGGCATGGAAATCCTGAGATTTCTCAACAAACTACCCTGTCGTCCAGCCATACAACTTTAGAGTTACAAATTTCGCCGCCCCACCATTCCCCACCACTCTCCTCACCACTCCTCATCGTCACTCCAATTGTTCCTCCCTCCTCTCCTGCTCGCTTCCTCGTCAACCCCCAGCACCCCCCCAAACCCAATACCCAGAAACTCCCCTATCTGTCCTACCACCCACTGCTGCTCCACCAGCTTTTGAGTCATCTCAAAATCTGAGAACTCTCAAACCACCACTCCCCACCACTCCTTACCACTCCTCATCATCACTCCAATTATTCCTCCCTCCTCGCCTGCTCGCCTCCTCATCCACCCCCAGAACACCCCCAAACCCAATACCCAGAAACTCCCCTATCTGCCCCACCACCCACTGCTGCTCCACAGGCTTCAGCCCGCCTCCAAAGCGGTGCTCCTTCACACCTTCCGCCAGCTGGCACACCGCCATTGGCTCGCCGTTTTGGAACTGGACAGAGGAAGAGAGGGGAAGGAGGGGAAGAGTGAGCGTGGATGGATCAGGGCTTCGATATGTATATCGACACGAGAAGGAAAGAATCTTGTACCCAACTCCCCTATCTGCCCCACCACCCACTGCTGCTCCACAGGCTTTAAACCCCCTCCAAATCGGTGCTCCTTCACGCCTTCCGCCAGCTGGCACACTGCCATTGGCTCGCCGTTTTGGAACTGGATGGAGGAAGAAGGAGAAGAGGGGGCGTGGGGTGGAATAGGGTTTCGATTTGTACTCCAACACAATCAAGGATACCATCTTGAGCCCCTGACATGTGCCCCTTGTTTATTTTGCAAGGTGTCTTTCTTATTTGTTTAATATGAGACACTTCAAGTAAAAAAGAAGAAAGCATAAAGCGTCTGCTCCTCACATGCACCCATCAATTGTCTTCAACTCCCTCCCAGACATCCCACCTACTCCCTCTCCAATTCCCCTTTCCTCCCTACCTTGCATACTCAACCCCTCTACCACCACTAACCCTTCTTCCACTCACTCACCCCTTCAATCACAACCCACCCCCTCTACCACCACTCACCCCTTCAACCATCACTCACCCCTTCAACCACAACCCACCCCCTCTACCACCACTCACCCCTTCAACCACAACCCACCCCCTCTACCACCACTCACCCCTTCAACCATCACTCACCCCTTCAACCACAACCCACCCCCTCCACCACCACTCACCCCTTCAACCACCACCGCAGCCCGTGAGATGTTGGCACATTTACCCCTCTCCAAAGACTCCCAGATGCCCACTCACTCCCACAACCACCACTCACTCCCACTACCACCACTCACTCCCTCTACCACCACTCACCCCTTACACCTGCACTCACCCCCTCAACCACCACTGCAGCGCGTGAGATGTCGGCACATCTGCCCCTCTCCGTGTGGCTCCAAAGGTCGCCCACCCGCCACGTGATGCTGAATTCCCCTCCCCCCTGGCGATCAAACACTAGATCCACTGATACTGCTACTGTAGATACCACCTTCTTGGCCAGACTGGGAGGGAGGGAGAGAGAGAAGGGCATGGGAGGGAAGGGAAGCGAGAATGTGGAGGATGGAAGGAGTTTGGCAAAGTCCTTCCATCCCTCCCTGCCCTTCCCCTTGGCAGTCAAACACCAAGTCCACTGATACTGACACTGCGATGATTTTTGAGGCGCCTATATAACCCTCTCTCCCTGGGGAAGCCAGAATGTGATGCTAACACCTGCGCTCCCTGCGCTCCCTGCGCTCCCTGCGCTCCCTGCGCTCCCTGCGCTCCCTGCGCTCCCTGCTCTCCCTGCGCTCCCTGCGCTCCCTGCGCTCCCTGCTCTCCCTGCGCTCCCTGCGCTCCCTGCGCTCCCTGCGCTCCCTGCGCTCCCTGCGCTCCCTGCGCTCCCTGCGCTCCCTGCGCTCCCTGCTATACCAGCCCCATTTTTGGCGATCACACACCAAGTCCACTGATACTGCCACTGTGGAGACCACCTTTTTGGCCAGACTGGGGGGGAGGGAGACAAGGCGCACCCTCCGATTAAACGCCGGAAGGGGATGGAAAAGGCCAGGAGGAGAAGAGGCAAAAAGAGGAGAAACTGAGGTGTATGAAGGGTGGACGACGAGAGAAGGGGCTAAGACCAAAGCAACTCACTCTCCTCCGACGAGCCAGAAGGGGATTGAAAAAGCCGTGAAGAGAAGAGATGTGGAGAGGAGACGGCGAGTTGGTGTGATCAATGGAACAAGTGAGAGTTAAAAATTTATACACTCACTCTCCTTAAACGAGCCAGAAGGGGACAAAAAAAAATCCGTGAAGAGAACGAGGGAGAAGAGGAGATCATAAGGTGAGGAGATGAAGGGGGAGCACAGAATAGCCCACTCGGACAGAGTATCCTGAAGCAACTCACTCGCCGCCGACAAGTCAGAAGGGGATGGAGAAGGCCGTAAAGAGAAGAGACGAGGAGAGGAGAAGGCACGTTGGTGTGAAGAACGGGACAGGTTAGACAGGGAGGTAAAAACTCCATACACTCACTCGCCGCCGACAAGCCAGAAGGGGATGGAGAAGGCCGTAAAGAGAAGAGGAGCGCCCCCTGTGAGTGCTGTGGCAGTCCAAAAGGCAATGAAGGCATTCCATGCCTGAAGGAAAATGAGTGGGGAGAGGTGAGACGGAAAAGATTAGGGGACACGACGAGATGATAGAGAAGAGGAGCGCCCCCTGTGAGCGCTGTGGCGGTCCAAAAGGCGATAAACGCATTCCGGGAGGTGAGGGAGGAAAGGGAGGTGAGGGGATGCAGACACAAAGAAAGATGAGAGTATATGGACACATGGAGGGATGGAAGGAGAAAAGGAGCGCCCCCTGTGAGCGCTGTGGCGGTCCAGAAGGCAATAAAGGCATTCCGTGCCTGCAGGGGAGATGAGGGGAGATGAGGGGAGATGAGGGGAGATGAGGGGAGATGAGGGGAGAGGAGGGGAGATGAGGGGAGATGAGGGGAGATGAGGGGAGAGGAGGGGAGATGAGGGGAGATGAGGGGAGATGAGGGGAGAGGAGGGGAGATGAGGGGAGATGAGGGGAGATGAGGGGAGAGGAGGGGAGATGAGGGGAGATGAGGGGAGATGAGGGGAGATGAGGGGAGAGGAGGGGAGATGAGGGGAGATGAGGGGAGATGAGGGGAGATGAGGGGAGATGAAGGGAGAGGAGGGGAGATGAGGGGAGAGGAGGGGAGATGAGGGGAGATGAGGGGAGATGAGGGGAGAGGAGGGGAGATGAGGGGAGATGAGGGGAGATGAGGGGAGAGGAGGGGAGATGAGGGGAGATGAGGGGAGAGGAGGGGAGATGAGGGGAGATGAGGGGAGATGAGGGGAGATGAGGGGAGAGGAGGGGAGATGAGGGGAGATGAGGGGAGATGAGGGGAGATGAGGGGGGATGAGGGGAGATGAGGGGAGATGAGGGGAGATGAGGGGAGATGAGGGGAGAGGAGGGGAGATGAGGGGGGATGAGGGGAGAGGAGGGGAGATGAGGGGAGATGAGGGGAGAGGAGGGGAGATGAGGGGAGATGAGGGGAGATGAGGGGAGATGAGGGGAGATGAGGGGAGAGGAGGGGAGATGAGGGGAGATGAGGGGAGATGAGGGGAGATGAGGGGAGATGAGGGGAGAGGAGGGGAGAGGAGGGGAGATGAGGGGAGATGAGGGGAGATGAGGGGAGATGAGGGGAGATGAGGGGAGATGAGGGGAGATGAGGGGAGATGAGGGGAGATGAGGGGAGAGGAGGGGAGATGAGGGGAGATGAGGGGAGATGAGGGGAGATGAGGGGAGAGGAGGGGAGATGAGGGGAGATGAGGGGAGATGAGGGGAGATGAGGGGAGAGGAGGGGAGATGAGGGGAGATGAGGGGAGATGAGGGGAGATGAGGGGAGATGAGGGGAGAGGAGGGGAGATGAGGGGAGATGAGGGGAGATGAGGGGAGATGAGGGGAGAGGAGGGGAGATGAGGGGAGATGAGGGGAGATGAGGGGAGAGGAGGGGAGATGAGGGGAGAGGAGGGAGGTGAGGGGATATAGAAACACAGAGAGATGAGAGGAAACATGAAGTGATGAGATGGGAGATGAGATGAGATGAGGGCATATGGACACATGAAGAGATGAAAGAAAAGAGGCACGCCCCCTGTGAGCGCTATGGCGGTCCAAAAGCAATACAGGCATTCCATGCCTGAGGGGAGGTGTGAGGGACACATTGTCAGAAGCACAAGAGCCTGAGAAGTGTCAGGAGAAAGACCACTGGAATGCGAACCACCCAAGTGAAATATCAAGAGCAATTGTTCGAGTGAAGCTGTGTAAGTGTAAACTGAAATGACCTTTGAGTCGACTCAAAAGTCGCTCGAGTGAAGCTGTGCAACTGTAAACTCATGATGGCAAACCCGCCTCGAGATAACAGAGAGTGTTTGAGACGTTTTTAATATATCAATAGCAAACCCGCTTGAGTGATTCTGTGCTAAGTGTGAAGTTACGATGGCAAACCCGTCTGTGCCCATTGCCTCCCGTGTCAAGCCTGTAGGGGGAATGTGTACCACCAGGACTTTGGTGGAGGTAGCGGGGGAATGAAGTGCAATGTGTGCTGTGCTGTGTTGTATTGTGAACTTACAATGGCGAATCCGCCTGTGCCCATTGCCTCCCGTGTCAAGCCGGCAGGGGGAATGTGTACTACGAGGACTTTGCTCCCTTCTGTCCTCTCCAGTACCTGCTCACGCACACAAGCACGCACACAAGCACGCACACAGAGGCATGCACGCACAGACGCGAGAAGCCGATAGGGAGAGGAAGGAGGGCGGGAGGGTTGAATGGAAAGCATAATTTAAAGCAGCAGGTTGAAACGCCTTTGGTAAAGAGCTACATTTATTGAACTTTTGAGAATTCTCAAAAGGTCAATCAACGCTTTTGGTAAAGAGGATTTTTTTTGGACTGGGTGCCTTTTGAGGTGCCTCAAAAGTCTTTGGTAAAACTAAGTAGTTTGCAAACACAACCACTTGGGTGCCTGCCAGCAGGGCGGGTGAGAAGAGCCCATGGGGATCGGAAGGCGGAAGAGAGGGTTCACCTTGCGGGTTAATGGCAAAGAGGTGGCTTCTGAGTCACTTGGGTTGAAATGCAGGAAAAGACAACTCTAGTTTTGAGACGTCTCAAAAGACAACTCTCACCACTTGCGTTCCAGCTGGGCGGGTGACAAGAGCCCCCGGAAATTGGAAGGCGACAGGGAGGGTTTGCTTTGCAGGATAGTGGCAAAGAGGTGGCTTCTGAGTCACTTGGGTTGAAATGCAGGAAAAGACAACTCTAGTTTTGAGACGTCTCAAAAGACAACTCTCTCACCACTTGCGTTCCAGCTGGGCGGGTGACAAGAGCCCCCGGAAATTGGAAGGCGACAGGGAGGGTTTGCTTTGCAGGATAGTGGCAAAGAGGTGGCTTCTGAGTCACTTGGGTTGAAATGCAGGAAAAGACAACTCTAGTTTTGAGACGTCTCAAAAGACAACTCTCACCACTTGCGTTCCAGCTGGGCGGGTGACAAGAGCCCCCGGAAATTGGAAGGCGACAGGGAGGGTTTGCTTTGCAGGATAGTGGCAAAGAGGTGGCTTCTGAGTCACTTGGGTTGAAATGCAGGAAAAGACAACTCTAGTTTTGAGACGTCTCAAAAGACAACTCTCACCACTTGCGTTCCAGCTGGGCGGGTGACAAGAGCCCCCGGAAATTGGAAGGCGACAGGGAGGGTTTGCTTTGCAGGATAGTGGCAAAGAGGTGGCTTCTGAGTCACTTGGGTTGAAATGCAGGAAAAGACCACTCTAGTTTTGAGACGTCTCAAAAGACAACTCTCACCACTTGCGTTCCAGCTGGGCGGGTGACAAGAGCCCCCGGAAATTGGAAGGCGACAGGGAGGGTTTGATTTGCAGGATAGTGGCAAAGAGGTGGCTTCTGAGTCACTTGGGTTGAAATGCAGGAAAAGACAACTCTAGTTTTGAGACGTCTCAAAAGACAACTCTCACCACTTGCGTTCCAGCTGGGCGGGTGACAAGAGCCCCCGGAAATTGGAAGGCGACAGGGAGGGTTTGATTTGCAGGATAGTGGCAAAGAGGTGGCTTCTGAGTCACTTGGGTTGAAATGCTAGTTTTGAGACGTCTCAAAAGACAACTCTCACCACTTGCGTTCCAGCTGGGCGGGTGACAAGAGCCCCCGGAAATTGGAAGGCGACAGGGAGGGTTTGCTTTGCAGGATAGTGGCAAAGAGGTGGCTTCTGAGTCACTTGGGTTGAAATGCAGGAAAAGACAACTCTAGTTTTGAGACGTCTCAAAAGACAACTCTCTCACCACTTGCGTTCCAGCTGGGCGGGTGACAAGAGCCCCCGGAAATTGGAAGGCGACAGGGAGGGTTTGCTTTGCAGGATAGTGGCAAAGAGGTGGCTTCTGAGTCACTTGGGTTGAAATGCAGGAAAAGACAACTCTAGTTTTGAGACGTCTCAAAAGACAACTCTCACCACTTGCGTTCCAGCTGGGCGGGTGACAAGAGCCCCCGGAAATTGGAAGGCGACAGGGAGGGTTTGCTTTGCAGGATAGTGGCAAAGAGGTGGCTTCTGAGTCACTTGGGTTGAAATGCAGGAAAAGACAACTCTAGTTTTGAGACGTCTCAAAAGACAACTCTCACCACTTGCGTTCCAGCTGGGCGGGTGACAAGAGCCCCCGGAAATTGGAAGGCGACAGGGAGGGTTTGCTTTGCAGGATAGTGGCAAAGAGGTGGCTTCTGAGTCACTTGGGTTGAAATGCAGGAAAAGACCACTCTAGTTTTGAGACGTCTCAAAAGACAACTCTCACCACTTGCGTTCCAGCTGGGCGGGTGACAAGAGCCCCCGGAAATTGGAAGGCGACAGGGAGGGTTTGATTTGCAGGATAGTGGCAAAGAGGTGGCTTCTGAGTCACTTGGGTTGAAATGCAGGAAAAGACAACTCTAGTTTTGAGACGTCTCAAAAGACAACTCTCACCACTTGCGTTCCAGCTGGGCGGGTGACAAGAGCCCCCGGAAATTGGAAGGCGACAGGGAGGGTTTGATTTGCAGGATAGTGGCAAA